TCCCATTTATCGGCCTGATATTCTCTGAAGGCAATGACGACCCGTAAAGTGGGTGATCTCTAAAATCAAATTCATCGCCGTTATGATTGATGTTACATTATTATGTTTAATGATGAGAACCAGGAATGTCGTAATGAAAGCGTTTACTTTAATCCACATTGATGTCGCATGATGTAGGGGATCCTGATAGCGGTGCGAATCTTACAGTAGATAAGTTCTCCTGGCTCGTGTTTATAATGATCCAGATGATCAAGTCAGACGATTAGGTATCATATCCTACAAAACATTGTCCAATTGATCCAGTTTGGTTAAAACCAAGGCTTGCCTTAAATGCTTACAAGAGATGGCGTTGAAGAAAGTGTTATCTTAAATCATTGTTATTCGTTACATTTTAATTATCTCAAACCAATAGTTTCATTTGTGTTTTTGTCCTTCTAGCTTTTTACTCCAGACAACCTTTAAATCCAACATTTAAAAATTTTTTGATTCCATTAATAATGTTTTATCCTTCAATTTACATTTCCATCTAGGTTGTCCAGGCATTTATTTATACTTATTTTTTTACTCTTGTGATATTTAGTTAATTTTTTCAAATCCATGTCCAATTTGATTTGATAATGCCTTGCAAGTGGGGCTTCCAGTGTTTCCGCTCCGACAGAAGCGTCGAGGATGATGAAAGTATCCAAAATAGAGAAATAAGTCATAAAATTGACGAGCAAATAGCCAAAGAAAAGTTAATGTTTAGACGAGAAGTTAAGTTGCTACTTCTCGGAGCTGGTGAAAGCGGCAAATCAACTTTTCTCAAGCAGATGAAAATCATCCATGGATTTGAATTCGATCGTCCCCAATTAGAAGAATTCCGAGCCTCTATCTACCTCAACGTTATTAGAGGCATGAAAGTGTTAATAGATGCAAGAATGAAATTGAAAATCCCATGGTCAGAAGAAAGTAATGAAGAATGTGCTGAGACATTTTTACAAGTGGCGGATAATTATTGCCATGATCCCTTATTATTTTGCTCAATCGCTCATTTGGTTAAGAAACTTTGGGCTGAACCATCTATCAAAAAGGCTTTCGCTAGACGAACTGAATTTCAACTAACAGATTCAGTTAGATATTACTTCGAGAACTTGGATGATTTGGCCAATATCGATTATCTTCCATCAACTCAAGACATACTTCATTGCCGGAAATCCACTAGAGCAATTACCGAGTATCGAGTTATGATCAATAAAGTGCCATTTCGTTTTGTTGACGTCGGTGGCCAAAGATCCCAAAGACAAAAGTGGTTTCAATGTTTTAGCTGTGTGACTTCAATAATTTTCCTGGTATCCTCAAGTGAATATGATCAAGTCTTGTTAGAAGATTGCCGCACTAATCGTATTGATGAATCATTAGTCATCTTCGAAACCATTGTAAATCACAAAGCTTTTGCCGAAGTATCTTTTATCCTGTTTCTCAATAAAACTGATCTTCTTAAGGAAAAGCTCCAGCTAATAGAAGCCGCTATGCAGGAATATGAAAGTGGTAGCTCAAGAGGCAACTCACCACAGGACATGGCTGTTGCTGCTTGTGTCTCTCAACCTCAACCTCAACCTCAACCTGAACTCAAATCTTCATCCTTTAGTAATACTTCTGATAATTCTCAATCTCATCAATCTCAATCGATTTCATCCGATTCTCAAACCCATCCACATTCGCATCACTCTTTGGTTCCCTCAAGTTCTACCTCTCAAACTCATACTCATTCTCGTCGGCATCGCCGTTTACGTCGAAGAAAACAATCTCTTGAATTAAGAACTTACGCAGATTATTTTCCTGACTTTGATGGCAACCCATTTGCAACCGAAGAGGTCCAGAATCACATGTATAGAATGTTCAAAAGCAAAATGTATGACAATAAGAGGCCAATTTATCACCATTTTACTACAGCTATTGACACAGAAAATATCACACACGTTTTTGAAGATGTGAGAACTACAATTCTAGAAAAAAGCTTAACTGATTTAATGTTGCATTGATGCCATCTCAAGCCAAAGTAATTTTATAATTTGTCTAGATTGGGTTGAGGAGAAAATTGAGCCAACGAAAAATGCTTAATTACTTGGACAACTTGGGGTGCTACTTTTTTTAAACTAAACCAATTTGGACAATAATGTTTATCGTACCTTAAACTTCACTTGTTCTAGTCAATGATAAACAAATTGCTTTGAATTTTGTATTACTTGTTGAACAGCCAATGAAAGAAACACAATGAAATCTCAATGATGCTTCCAACGGCTGTATTTACTTCAAGACTGATCTCATCAATAATTATAAAACTTTAATGATCTTCATTCTACTTGAAAAATTGCCAATATCTCAAGCCATTCCATTTTAATTGATTAAATCGTCAAAAAGTTGGATGGAATCATCATTAACAACTTTGGACGTAATTGTTGAGACTTTTTTACCTTCGGTTGATGTAAATCCAGTTGTTTAACTCATTTACTGTGAATTATTGCTCACTTTTTTTCTGAACTATATTTAATCTAAAACAAATATTAATAATTAACAATTATTGGTAATAAATATGATAATTTTTTCTAGACAAGCCTTTTAATTCTCCTCATTAACAGCTCAATAGATTGAATACTTGCTCTCAAATTAATATCAATTATTTACGTTTCTATCCATGAATGTATTCAATCAGTTCCTATATTCATAATGTTTTATACAAAGAAAAACTGAATTTTGACTCGAAATTATTGAGAGATAACAGTTGAATAAACAGTTTATTTCAATGAAATTTGAAAAAACCGCTTTATTTGTAGTTTGAGTTTTCTCTGAGCAACTCTAGGTTACTCTTTGCTTGAGGCTTGAAAATTTATTTGGTGTCAAAACAAATAGTAAACATAAACATTTAGCAAATTTCAATTGATTCTTGTGTTTTTTGTTGTTACAATTTAAAAAGTCAAAATGATACAAATTTTATATAAAAGTATTTCTGGCTCAAGTAAAATAATTGAGTACCACGAGGATAGTGATAATATTGATGATTTATATCAACGTTTTTCAAGTATTGAGGTAAGATATTGCGTTTTAACATTTTCTCAATTTATTCATTTGATTGTCATATCTGGGATTAACTTGTTATATTTTGGTATTTTCTTTCTTACTCAGGGTATTCCAATCGACTCTTTCAAGTTATATCTCAATGGGAAATTACTTAGTGATTCAATTATGAGTACTTATCCGTGTAAATCTTTAGTTCCAATTACAATGCACCCATTGCTTCTTGGTGGTAAAGGAGGATTTGGTTCTATGTTAAGAGCTATTGGCGCTCAAATTGAAAAGACTACAAATAAGGAGGCTTGTCGCGATCTCAGTGGACGTCGATTACGTGATATCAATGCAGAAAAGAGATTTAAAGAATGGGTATCTAAAAAAGGGAACGAAGAAGCAGAAAAGGAGAAGAAAAGGAAAGAAAAGCTCGAAAAGATGAAACAAACACCAAAAATCATGTTTGAAGATCCTGAATATTTCAAGAATAAAGAAGTTATTCCTCAAGAAATTGATGAAGCACTGGAACATGGATTGAAAAATGCTACTGCCAGTCAGTCATCTGCGAAAAGAGTTGACCCGTTTGCAAAGAGCATATCTACGAAGAAACAAAAAAAGGATCTCTGGCTCGGTGTTGATCTAAGTGAAGACGAAAGTGATCTGGATGATGATCAAAACAGTGCAGATAGTGGATCGAGAATTGACTCTGATAAAGAAGATGCTAGTAAATCAACTAAATTTTTGTTAAACCCTGGACCTTCATCTTCTAGCGAGAATAGCCAACAATCATCAGATATAGAGCAAATAATTCCATCGATGAACGACAAGCAAATTTCTGTAATTCATGCTTGAATGTTGAAAATTTCGTCATGTTAATATTTGCTTATTCAAAATTCGTCTTTCATTTCCATGTAATCTTTTCTCTAATTTACTAAAATTTCATCAATGAAGATTCAATATTCAATAGATTAAAATTATCATCTCAAAATTTTTTGTGAATCTCTATATTCTCACTCATCCAGGAAATATGATAGCAATTTTCTCGAATGTCGCAATAGTTAGATTTACAGTCAACTTATCAAATTTAGTTTATTTGCAATTCTAAGACTGCAATGATGGTTTGAAATTTTCAAAAATTGTTTTAATATATTTGCAGAATATTTAGTCAAGGTTTTGTTTCAGTCCAAAGTCTAGCCAAGTTTTGAGATAGAATCAGTAATAATTCGCAAACCTTCCAAGCTCAGATTCGGATAGCTTGTAGAAACATAAAAACGGAGTCCATTGGTACTACAGTAGTCATTAGACTTAAGTTAACAAAATAGTGCCACACTTAAGTTAATTTTCAGGTGTCGCCATCTCGGTAATAATTATTTTTCAGAGAAACTAGACAATAGAGAAATGGACAAAATCAAATTCGATCTTAAAGGTACTTTTATTTCTTGTTAGATGGCGACTATGAAAAAAATATCGACTTTTGTTAACTTAAGTCTAATGACTACTGTATTAAATAATTCATCTGATCGACATTTTCTGAGGAATATAATGTTTGGTCAAAGAATGGTGATTGTAGGTGATGCTATTCTCGAAATATTGAGGCTCAAAGTTTTAAGGCTAATGGCCAAAATCAAGAGAACCGTTAATAAATTGTTAAAAGTAATTAGTTTATGATGCGAAGCAACAATTTTTATCGACAAATACTAAGTTTAAGCAATCTAATTCTTATGGCCATAGAATGCGGAATGTTTAACGGAGAATCGGACTTGATCTGTTTTACAGAAACAGAAAACTTTATTTTGCAAAATTAATGCATTTTCTTGTCGATAATCAAAAGTTAGATCATTAAAATGAGTCTCATGAAAAAATCTGCTTCCATAATTGTACATTAGACGATCGAAGTTTCAACTTTGGACTCAATTTCCTCAGAAAATGTCGATCGGGGATAGTTTTAAATCGAATAAATGGACATAGTTTCTACAAAAAAACAGAGTCTTAACTTGAAAGAAAGTAATTTTCACCGATTTTTGCCCATTTATGCCAATTTTTGCATGAATGTGACAATTTTGCTGTCTTTGTGTCTTTTTAAATACAAGCCAAAAATCAAGAATACGAATCTGAACCTTTATTAATGATTAGACTGTTAAGATTCCCATGTTCTTGGCTCTGTATTGTATTTGCATTAGTTGTTCAAATTCATTGTGTTATAGCCCATAATGAAATATAATGTTTGGATAAAGAATGATGATTAATGGTAATTATAACACATTCTCGAAATATTGCGTTCCAGTTTAATAACCTATTAGTTTATTGATAGAATGAGCGAAATCAATGTTGTATTAAAATGGATTCCTAAACGATTAACGGCAAAAATCCGACTGCTATTGTGAGTTTACACCAAGAGAATGCTTAAATTGTAGCAAATTTAAGTATAATAAGCAATCTTTCCTTTATACTGTGCATAATCAACTTTAAACTTTTATTCGATGCAAGTTTTAGTACTGTTTGAGAATCACGTTGAGTTGAGAGTTGATAGTTTATAGATGTGAAGAAGCACATAAACTGAGTCCATGAGTGCTATTAAAATGATTCTCCGATAGACAGTTTTCGATCAATTAGAGGTCAAAGCTGAAACTTCGATTCGTTTTTGTTCAATTATGGAACAAGATTTTGTTAGGAAACTTATTTTCGTGAGGTAACTTTTGATAGGCAACCAGAAAATGAACTTATTTTGAACAATAACATGTCCTGTTTCTGACAAAATAGATAAGTTCGATTTTCAGTTAAATCGACAGATTTTTGTGGTCATAAAAGTTAGAAGGCTAAAACTTACTAATTATGCTTAAAAATTGTTTGGACACGTTGATGAGTGGTCACTTTTTTCAAGTTACCAACAGTTTCCTTGATTTTGGCCATTGACCTGAAAACTTTGAGCATCAATATTTCGAGAATAATAGTACCCACAATCATCATTCTTTAATCAAACATTAGATTTTATTATGGGCTCTGAAGATATCGAAATTTAGATGATGCAAGGTTCTGGAAAAAAAGTTATAGCACTGTGTTACTCATGCTGTCAGATTTGATTCTTTATCGATAAAAGTAAATGGTTGCTTATGAATATTCATAACTAAATGTACTAGCTCAAATTTTCTTCGATATTAAGTCATTTTATGTGATAGTCCATAATGAAATCTATTGATTGGTCAACAAAAGATGATTTCAGATGCTATCGATTTCGAAATATTGATGTTCAAAGTTTTTAGGTAAATGGCCAAAATCATGAGAACTATTAATAAAATGAAAAAATTGTTAGTTTGTTGATGTGTGGCGATAGTTTTTATGCATAAATAGCAAGTTTTAGCCTTCTAACTCTTACGACCACAAAAATCTGTCGATTTAACTGAAAATCGAACTTAAACTGTTGTACAGAATTAGAGAAATATATTTCGCGAAATTAATGCATTTTCTGATTTATCATCGAAATTAACCTCAGTAGAATGAGTTTAAAGAAAAACTCTGTTTCCATAGTTGGACAAAAGGCGATCGAAGTTTCAACTTTGGCCTTGATTTCCTCGAAAACTGTTGATCGGAAGAATTATTTAATAGTACCGCTGGTTTCAGTTTTTATGTCCCTACAAATCCGTCAAGTCTCATCTTTTAACTCAAATGCTCGTGTCTTTGGCGCTACTTTTTGGTTTTCATTTGCAAGTTTAACCAGAAAATTGGTTTATTTAACAAGAAATGGGTTAAGATGAGTTTGTTTAGTTGAATAAGTTGTTGCTCATACATTTGAAACCTGAATACGATGACCCAAATGCGCTAATTACATTTAATTAAATTGAATTGAATTATTAACCAGTAAAGAATCAAATTGACAGAAGAATGATGATTATTGGTTATGCCATTCTCGAAATATCGAGGCTCAAAGTTTTAAGGCTAATGGCCAAAATCAAGAGAACCGTTAATAAATTGTTAAAAGTAATTAGTTTATGATGCGAAGCAACAATTTTTATCGACAAATACTAAGTTTAAGCAATCTAATTCTTATGGCCATAGAATGCGGAATGTTTAACGGAGAATCGGACTTGATCTGTTTTACAGAAACAGAAAACTTTATTTCTTAAAATAAGTGCATTGTCTTGTCGATAATCAAAAGTTAGATCATTAAAATAAGTCTCATGAAAAAATCTGCTTCCATAATTGTACAAAAGGTGATCGAAGTTTCAACTTTGGACTCAATTTCCTCAGAAAATGTCGATCAGATGAATTATTTAATAGTACCAATGGACTCCGTTTTTATGTCTCTACAAGCTATTCGAATCTGAACTTGAAAGAAATTCATTTTTACCCATTTTTCTTGCAGTATTGGTGACAATTTATGCATTAACGTGACAGTGTTGTTAAATGTTTCTTTTCAGTAACAACCACAAAACATATTTTGTAGAGAAAGATCCAAGATTAGTTCAAATGTTCGTTCAGTGAAATCTAAATCAAAACATAGCCTTTCAACAGTATTATATTATTTCTTCATGACAATATGTTTCAAAGCAAATGAACATAGCAATCAAACTAACAGTGATAGATGATATTCAAGATTGAAATAAGTATCATCAGTACTTACAGTTAATGTTGCTGTAGATTGAAATCTTTGGCTTACCTATCAAATCTGTTCTAATCGTACCCAATCGGTACTAACTCATGTATCGTTAATTTTTCAATTAATTACAATTCGATCGCACAGTCTTTCCAAGTTAAAATTTCAGAATCAATCATATCATAATGAATGCTAGATTATAATATTATAAGAACTAAAGGAATGAAATAGATTGCCTTTTTGGATAATTTGGCTTTTATGTCTAATTTAAGTCAAATTAATTTGTTATGATGCAAACTTTTTTAAACATAACACAGAGAATAATAAATTAGCTTTTTCTTAATAGTAATGCAGGTAAATCTTTTATTAAATTGATAGTTTTTAGTTTAAACAAGAGAAGGCTTCAGCGTTAAATAGCTAATATTTTCTGGTCATTTGGCTTTTTTTTGAAAAAAGAAAAAGAAAACCCAAATGTAAATAAAAGAACTTCTAAGTATAAATATCATTTCATTGTGACAGTTATAACAGTTGTATGCAAGTCAACCTTATTATCATCATTTTATTAATTACTATTTCTATTTGCTATCTTGTTTTTTTTTGTTAGTTTTATTAATATAATAACAATAGGAAGATGGATTCTTCTGAAACTCCAAGTGGTTCTTTCCGTGGTCGAGGTAGATCCTCTCAGTTTGGTGCTCAAGAACCAATCCGGACAATTCCACCAGATTTAGTTTCTAAAGTTGGTCAAGGAGGAACTGCTGTTCGTCTTTACTCAAATTATTTCTCGATGATGACTCCTAACGACACTATTGTCCATGGATATCATGTAACTTTTGACCCGATTGTGGAGTCTCCTAAAATCAGGAGAGGTCTTCTTTTTTCTCATCGTGATGTCTTTGATAGTACTTATATTTTCGATGGTGGAGCTGATTTAAAAGCATTAAAAGAAATTCCAGAGCCATTGACTCTCTTCGCCACAACTCAACACACTAACCAGAATATTGAAATAACTATTAAATACACTGGACCGATTTCATGGGGACATCCAGAGATGATGCGTCTTTACAATACACAAATGAGACGTAATCTTAGACATATTGGAATGACTCAAATAGGCTCAGATTTCTATAATGCTTCAGAGAAAAAGAGTATTCCTGATTATCGAGTTGAAGTCTGGCCTGGTATATTGACTGCTATCAATGAACATGATGGAGGTATAATGGCGGTTGTCAGTTGCTGTCATAAAATTATAAGAAAAGATTCAGCCCTTGACATATTAAAGCGGCTTTGGCAACAAGACAGACAAAACTTCCAAAACAATTCTCGTAGTGAATTAAGTGGCTCAATTGTTATGTCTCATTACAATAAAAAGACTTATCAGATTGATGACGTTATTTTCCAAAGAAATCCAGTCACCTATCGCTTCGATAAACAAGGAACATCAATCTCTTTGAAAGATTATTATAAAGATCAATATAAAATTGATGTAAAGGACGATAATCAGCCTCTCCTTTTGGTTAAACCAACTGATAGACAACGACGTGGAGGGATTGAACAAGATATTGTCCTGATACCTGAACTGTGTGTATTAACTGGTATCACTGAGGCCATGAAGAATGACATGTCATTTCGACGTGAATTGGATCGACATGTTCGCCTAGACCCAGTTCGAAGACTGCAAGAGATGCAAAAAAATATTGCTAAAATAATGTCAAACGACCAGGTTAAATCTGAAATGGAGCGATGGGGTATAGCATTAGATCCTCGCCCAGCTGAAATAACTGGCAGAGTTCTGCCTCCTGAACAAATTTTCATGGCCGATGAAACCAATGGAATTCCATATCAACAACAATCTGGATCTTTTGATTCATCTATTAGGTCACAACGGCTGATAGCACCTGTTGCCTTGGAATATTGGGTGATTGTTGCGCCTATGCGTGAAAAGGGAACGATTGAACAGTATCTTGATTCCTTGGTGAACGTTGCAAGACCACTAGGAATCAAAATTGGTCCTCCTAAATTTTTTTGGTTAGAAAATGATCGAACATCAACTTATATTGAGAATTTCCGCAAAATTCCAAGTGGAGCTAAAATGGTTCATGTTGTTGTGCCTAACAACAATAAAGATCGATACAGTGCTATCAAGCATTATTTTTGCTGCGAACAACCCTGTCCATCTCAAGTTTTAACCCTCAGAGTCTTGAATAAAAAGCAACTTACAATTGCTACTAAACTTGTGCTTCAAATGTCCATCAAAATGGGTGCTCAAGCATGGACAGTCCATATTCCGGTAAGTAAATATTTTCGCTTTTTTCTATCAAATTACAGACCTTAAGTGACCGGTTTGATGTTTTTCTTTCATTTTAACTAGGCTCAAAATACAATGTTTGTTGGTTATAATACTTGTAAAGACACCTCTAAAAAAGGCCGAACCGTTGGAGCTTTTGTTTGTAGCACAAACGCAAGATCAACTTCATGGTTTTCACAAGTTTCTTATCATAAAACATTCGAAGAAATGTCTTCTAATTTTACAGCCAATTTCAAAAGTAAGTTTGCTTTATTTATAATAATTTTTTCCTAATTTATTATTTTGATATTTTTAATACTAACTTTTTTTCCCTGGCTTTTCAAGGTGGACTGAAAGCTTGGAATCGAGAAAACGGCCGTTTTCCCGAGCGTATAATTATCTATCGTGATGGGGTTTCAGAGGGACAAATTGGCTTTATTTATAAAACTGAACTTAAGCAAATATTAGACCTTCTTGGTGAACATGAAGACCTCAAAGAAGCTGGAATTGCATTTACAATTGTTAATAAGCGAGTTAACGCAAGATTCTTCTTGAGACCAGGTCCAAGAGATCCTGTAAAGAATCCTACCGCCGGTACTGTCATCGATTCAGTTGTAACACGAAAGGAGAGATACGATTTTTATCTAATCAGTCAATCAGTTCGATTTGGAACCGTCAATCCAACCATGTATAACATTATAAAGGATACCACTCGATGGAAACCGATCCATCATCAATTACTGGCCTACAAATTATGTCATCTTTATTATAATTGGACTGTAAGTTGATTCAAAATTTCATTCCTTTTCCTATTTAACCTTTTCTAATTTCTTCATTCAATATTTCTTTTGAATAGGGTACAATTTCTGTTCCAGCGCCATGTCATTATGCATATAAATTGGCCTTTTTGATTGGTAATTGCATCCATCAGGAGCCTAATCACGCTTTAGCAAACCAACTCTACTTTTTATAATCAATCACTAAGAAAACTCTAATCCATATGTTTGTCTTTTCGTATTATATTTCACCTTTTGTTCATTTGCTTTGAAGATCTTATTGTAATAATAAATTAATTTGAATTAAAAGTTTTCAAAGATGAATTAGTATTGTTCCGATTTCGATAAAATCTATCAGGAGAGCAGAATTACTGATCGATGATGCTCTTTCGGTGATTGTAATTGCAAAGAGCATAAAGAAATGTTGGACTGGTCACTATTAATCAATCAAAAAAACTCGACTCTCGAAAAATAAGTCATTTCATGAAAAAGAATTAATTGACTGTAATTATACTTATATATTTATTAAATATTGTCCGAAGAAGGTCTAATCATCGGGTCAAATCATCGAGTTAATAAATTTGCATAACAGACCCTCTATTTACTACATTCTTAAATCTTATAAAAATTACCCTTAAATTAACTTGAAAAACAAACTATTCAATGTTACACAGTTACATTATTTCGTTTTTATTATTGTTTTTCTCATTATGACATTGAGTCTTCCTTCTTTCTGAATTAGAAACTTTGATGTGAGTTGAAATTTCAACGTTATCGTCAGCATACAAGAAAAATAAATTAACAAATTAAAACTTGATAGAATAATTTACATTTCAGATGTTTTGTTCCACAGCATGTTCCTCAACATAAATTTCTGTTTCCGAAACTTTGAAAATGAATGTTCTTAAAATTTTATCAAGTTTTCAAACAAAGAATATATCGGTTTAATGAGATGATAAAATGCGATATTTCTGCTGCAAGCACTAAATTAGCCATCCACTTCTTTGGTGTCATTGGTTTCCTAAAATGATTGATAATGCAAAAAATTTTATTACAGTCAAACATCTTATTCAATATTTAGATGATAGATTAAACTTACTTTTAACTGGCCAGTGTTTCCTTTTTTATCCAGCACGCCCGCTTTAATTGCTGCAGCTGTATACGTTGCTTCGATCTTAGGGTCGTTTGTATCAAGTAAAAAATCATTTTCTATTGGAGCAGGAGCACCGGGTTCTCTAACTGTGAAGGTGTGAACTGGAAGTAGTTGTAACCATTTCATCATACTTAATTCATTTATTTCAGAATCAATTATTACTGGATGTATGAATTCTTCAACAAATGATTGAATAACATCATTATATTCATCCCAAGTAAGTGCTTCGTGGATTCCATCACCGCTGTATCTCTTATTATATTTATCATAGTGAACTTCTTCCAACATTAATCCTAGTCCGGGCGCTTTAGGTATATCCAATCGCTCTAACTTAAAAGCTTTAGAAATTACTTCTTCCGTTGCATACCCACGCATTATACCAATGGCAAGTCCGATCATTTTACGAATTTGATGCATCATGAAACTTTGTCCCCTTACTCGAATCATGACGAATTCAAGATCTTTTCGGATGAATGGTTGACCACATTCCATTTTGATAATGTACCTCATAGCACTTGGATCAACAGAATTTTTTTGAGATGTAAAGTTAAAAAAATTGTGAGTTCCTACGTATTTGCCAAGAATTTGGTTAAAGCGATCTATATAATCAGGTTTAACTCGATAACTGAGATTAACTGTTTCATCTGGTGGTGCTAAGGCAAATGAAGGCATCATATATGCATAAGTTCGTCCATCGCAATAATTTTTGCAATCAAAATGTCGGGTTGTTTTTTTTACAGCTATAACTCGAATTTGTGGAGGTAAAAGAGAATTTATTTCTGTAATCTTTTCTGGAAACCATTCTGGCATACGACAAGATAAAATTTGTTTAATTGCTGAAACTCCTTTATCGGTTCTGGCCGCTCTTTGGAAGAAAAATTCTTGTGGTCGATCATAATGTTCTTGTTTGATTAAATTTAACTTTAAAAAGGCGTCAAACAAATCGCCTTCAATAGTTTTAACTTGAGCATTTCTATAAATTTGGAGAGACAAAAAATTACTTAATTAGAAAAGAATGATGAAAAGGCGATAAAATAAATAAACAAACCTTTGAAGACCATAATAATTGACACCACAATAACTGAGAAGAATTGCAAATTTTTTGGGTTTAATTTTCACGGCATCAGGAGTTGAGGAAATTTCAGTTTTGGTCTTTTTTTCTTCCACTGACTGATTATTTTCATCTTCTAGTTTTCTCTTGACATCCGTGTTTACTCGAAGAGTATCACTGGCTTCCTCCATACTAGTTTGATACGATGAATAATTTTGTTTGAACACTTGATTGTAAAATCTAAAACAATTATAGCCCTTGAAACTGGACTTAGAAGTTGTCCCGGAGGACAAAAGATTCCAAATTTTTGTGTTGACAGGAAGATTAAAATCACATACTACAGCTAATGAACTTCTAAAATTGAATTTCATCGATTTCAATTTGAATTTTCAATTGATAAAATGTATAAAGTTTATTGAAGTAACAATTAGTCACCAGCTGTTAATTCAAGACATGCAACTCGCGTGTTTTTATCTCTTTAATCTGACATCTAGTGACTAACAATGGAAACCGCAGATTAAAGTTAAATTCAATAAATAATTGAGCTTCTCTAAGCATGTTAAGTACTTAAAATTCATATTTCATTTTAAATGTCTAATCAAAGATCAGAAAATTAAATAAGATGGTTCATTCAAACATTCATTAACTGCCAGAAATGCTAAAGTAAAACAAATGTTCAATTTTGTTACTAATCTTGATTCACGCGCCAAAAATCATATGATCATATAGCCTATCACCTGGATTCTGAAAATCTTCTTGATTAAGTTTATCAAATACTTATGACATAAAGTATTGTTTTGAAAGCTCAATGGTCTTGTTTAGTTAATCGTTTGTATTTATCTAGAATTAGTGATTTGTGGCCATGGATTTGGTTCTTTCAATTCTTCACAATGGTGGTAGTGCACCAACATCAAACAAGTTACCATCCAACAAAGCTGTTTTGGTACTTGGTGATAATGAAACTGGCAAGACTTCTCTGATTGCCAAAATTCAAGGAAATGATGACCCTAAGAAAGGTTCAGGATTAGAATATCATCATTTATTGGTTCGTGATGAGTATCGAGATGAACAAACCAGACTAAGTGTGTGGGTTCTTGACGGTGATCTTTATCACACAAACCTGCTACGATTCCCTGTGAATGAAGAAAATTTTCCTCATACTACATTAGTATTGGTTGCATCCATGTCTGAACCATGGAATATTCTTGATTCTCTTGAAAAATGGGCCAATGTGTTTGAAGGGCACATCGAAAGATTGAACATGAAACCTGAAAAACTTGCTGAATATAAGCGATCAATTGTGAGAAGATATTTGGAATACATTTCTCCCGGTGACGAAATTGAAGGATTAGTATCTGCACCTAAGTCTCGAAGTGAATCGATAAATGAAAAAATGGACCAATCAACACTGAGTGCAAGTGGATTAGGAGAAGAAATTCTTGGTGATAATGTTCTGACTAATAACTTAGGCCTTGATGTTATAGTTGTTATAACCAAGACAGATTACATGTCTGTTTTAGAGAAAGAGTATGACTATAAAGAGGAACATTTTGATTTTATTCAGCAAGCTGTTCGTAAATTCTGTCTCACATGTAAGTAGCTCGTAGCACATCATAGACTTCATTATATTTGTTAAACTATACATTTAACTTATCGTTACATCTTATTTCAGATGGTGCATCATTATTTTATGTTTCTGCTAAAATCAACAAAAATTGTGATTTACTCTACAAATATCTTGTTCATCGAATTTATGGCCTACCCTTTAAAACTCCAGCCTTGGTTGTTGAAAAAGATGCTGTTTTTATTCCATCAGGATGGGACAATGAGAAAAAAATAGCCATACTCTACGAAAATATTCAATCATGTATGCCAGATGATAATTACAATGATGTCATTATAAAACCAGAAACTCGACAGACACTCCAAAAAGATATTGAATTAACTGCTGAAGATGACCAATCGTTTTTACTAAAAATGCAAGCTCAGCTTACGCAAAATGTACCAACTGCAATAACATCGACACCACCATCCCTTAGAACACCAATGATGCCTAAGCCAGGAGAAAGAAGAATGGCTGGAGCATCACCTCTACCCGGAGTTCAGGTAAGATGTTTAAACATCTTATGTTACTGTAAGCCGAATTTAATATCTTTCAACAATTTTGATTTTTTTGTTCATTCATAGCTTGATGGATCTAAGATTAGTCCAGGAGGAGAGGGAGTTTTGCAAAGTTTCTTCAACAGTTTACTGAATCGACGATCTGGAACAGGAATGACAAACTCTCCATCAAGCCTCACAGCGAGTCCACAAACGCCCATGACTCCTACACTGTCGGAAAAACAACCTAAACCAGAGTAATCACTAATCGAAAAGATAACAGTTTTCACATTATCTATTTATAAATATCGAATCTATTTAAATATAATGATATTGAATGAATTGTGCAAAAGCAAATTTTAATCATTAATTTTTATTAGCACTTAACACCGAAAAGTGATCTAGTAAAATGATATTCATACAAAAAATAAACAAAAATTGTGGTAAATCGAATTCATTTTATTCAAAAGTTAGCATTTTATTTTTACAAAACTAAATCATTTGTGTGTGGCGAGATAGGTATAGAATAATATGATTGGTTTACGATTAAAATTTACAAGTCTTCTCACTGTCGAAATGTTTTGAATCGAATAATTTGATGAATACTCAGTTTAAGAAACTCAATAATGTATAACATAGTAAGTTATCCAACCTTCGTAAATAATAAATGAACTATCAAATTAATAAATCACTATTAAATAGATTTTTAGACATTGGCTATTTATGAAATATATTAAATTCAATTGATTAAAACAAAAATAACCATAAAAGTTTAACAATTTTTTAAAGTTTTATTAAAGCTTTTGAATTCATCTTGATTCTGGCGCCATTGATCATATGTTTCATTTCCTTTTCAAACTTTGCAATGACAACAAAATCTTGCAAGATTTAACTCTTTAAATGTGCATGTTTTTTTAGTTTAAACTCTATTACTCTTTTGTTAATTTTATTTTTGAATAATATTATTTTGAGTGAGTGTTTAAATACAATACAGATTTAACCATGGTTTGAGAATTTATAGATTAAATTTATCTTCTCTTTATATTAAAGTGTATAGTATTCAGTTCTTACTATAAACTGTTTAGTAAGAGTCTGCCATTTTATAATTTTGTTTTCTCATCTGGTTCATCTTCATTTATACTGTACTATTTATTTAATTATACGCAAGATGGAGAGTAAAAATGAAAAAAGAAAGAGGCCAGTAAAGGATCGTGTGATTAAAGAGGTAAGTTTTATTAAATGAGTTATTTTTGCTAGTTTATTAACCTTTACTCTTTTTGTTTTTCAATTTTCATTCGGAATCTTTCAAGATGGATGTTTATCTTTGCTCCAACCTGTATCCTAAATTACATGTCTTCAACTTTCCACCTGGATTTGATCCTCTAGCCACTGACAAAACTAATCTTCTCGGTGTTAAAGTAAAACTAGAAAGCAAGAGATTTATGATGAATGTAAAGATTGACGATAAAAGTCGCAATTTTGATAAAGATAAAAGTAAAGATATTGCTTATATTACAGAGCAAGGTGATGAACCTTTTTTTTCAAATAATTATATGGATAAGCTAATTCTTAAATCAAACGAGGCCAAACCTGCTAACTTGCAATATGCTGTTGGTGTTTTAAAGCATGACTCAGACGAGATACATTTAACGCCAATAAACTCTGTGATACAATTTACGCCAAGTTTTGATTATTTTGATCATAAAGAAAAGAAAGATAGAAAAGAAACTCCAGGATCGGCTAAAGGAGGAATCGATTCGAGTGGTGAAGGAGAGGAAAAGAAAGAAGAACATGCTAAAAAAGTTCTCCTCAGATTTGAGAAGCCAGACGAAGAGAAAGCAAAAAAAGCAAGAGAGGCTTCGTTTTCATTTATCAAACAAAAAATTGCCAATGAACCATGGACTGATATAAATGTAAGCCTTCGGGATTCAACAACTGCCATGATTGAGAAACAAAATTTATTTTTTCACCAAGCATCAGATGAATTTCTTAATGACTTTAATGGTCCTGACGTTTTGATGGCTGGCGATCAGGAAGCTCAGAGCTCAAATATGCAGGAAAATTCGATATCGTGTATTGAAGAATTCCTAAAGCCATTGACAAATACTTCAAATTCAAGCACATCTTGTTTATCGTCATTAACCAAGCAGAAGAATATAACTTTAAGTAACAAAATTCATAGAATCATGATGAGTGCTAAAGTTGTTTCCTTTACTGATCTTAAAAATCTGCTATCTGATGTAAGTGATCAGGCTTTATTGATTCGAAACATTCAAAAATATGCAGTGACGGTTCAAGGAAATTGGGTAATAAAAAGTGAATTCCTCTACCCACAAGAGAATGGTGCTTCAACAACCAGTCCCCTCACTGGCATCCCTAAAGAATTGCTCTGTCGAGCTAGAGATTTCATTTTGTGGTCTTTCTCTCAAGGAAACTCTGTTAGCAGGCCAGAAATAATTGAGAAAACAAAGGTACAACACATGCTTTTATTTCATTAGGAAATCTTTCGACTCTAAAATGTCTACAAAAATCCTCAGTTAGGCGAACTGAAACACTCAACAGATTAAATATCATTGACCTATCATCAACAAATTATTTTTTTTACAATCAAATGTGAATGTGAATTCACACAATAATTTCGAGTATTAGTATTAAATCTTTCATTAAGTAAACAAGTTTAAACAGTGTTTCATTTCGACATAAACTTTGTTCAATGTCAAATTAATTTGCTGTGAATTAACTCCTTTTTTCTTTTGTCTCTTTTCAAGATACCTCCGGAGGAAATTCTCAATATTCTGAAAGAGACAGCTAGATTTAGTGGATCCGACAAACGCTGGTACTTCATGCTTCCTACAGACAATGACTTTATTGAAAAGTATGCATACATTGGGAAACTCAAATTGTTTATATTCTAATCTTGTCAATTTGTTTAATTTTTTCTTTTTTCTTTTCTGTTTACTCAATTTATTAGATATCCTGAAGTCGTTCATCGTGAAAATTTATTTTGGGAGGCTAGAATTGTGCAAGTTAGCAAAGCATACTCAGCGCAAAAAATTAAACCACGGAAACATAGAAAAAGTTCTTCATCGACATCTTCAAGCTAGTTATTTTGGTTTGAATCTTACATTTATAATAATGTGGATTTAATGTTTGTGTATCAAAAGCTGGATTATTTTCATGCATTTGTTTATACTTATAAGATAAATTTATGTATAAATTCCTTTATTCTTTTCATTACTTCGACGTCCTGTATAACATTATGCTTCACATTTTGTCTTCAAATTGAACTTGTATACCTTGAAACTTGTCAAATATTGACAAATATCTTCTAAGGTAAATGAATTAAGTGAACTGATTTCAATACAATTAGGTGAATCGATATATTAAACTGATTATTGGGTAAAAGCCGCTATAAATCATTTTTATTTTGTATCAAATCTTTGTCAAATCATTTCAATTTTATAAATAATTTTGAATCAGTTCTCTGTTACAGATGTAGTAGATTATTGTCTAATAAGTACTGTAAAGCGATAAAAGTAAATAATTTTCCTTCAACATAATACATTTATAATACAAGTAGACACAAAAATTCATAAAAATTTTTGTCTTTGTAAAATAAATAAACTTATTAAATTTATAATCCTTTGCTGCAAGCAAGTCGCTTAAAGCAAAACCTGAATCAAGTTTATGCTCTGCGCAATTATTTAACAAACCCTAAGCGGCTTCAAACCGTGGTTAAACTGCTTTATTTTGTGTATAAAACCGCAGTTTTGTTGAATGTTTTTTATTTATGTTTATTTTGTTTTAAAAATACTCAACTTTTAATTTACACATACTTACTGTTCAATATTTAATGCTTCGTTAATAATTTGAACTGCTTTCTAAGGTTATCATCGAGGTTTCACTGTTCAATCGTTTATAGATTTACTCTCATCAAAACATGGCTGGATATCGAGATCACAAATTTTCGGTAATTATTAAAAACAATTGTCTAAAATTACATCTAACTTATCGTAATTAAGATTCATTTTTTGATTTCTCTACTCTCTTTATTCTGTCATTAGGGCTCACGAGATGATTATGAAAAACGATTGGCTGGCTCAACAACACTCTATGTTGGTAACCTCTCATTTCACACCAAAGAGGAGCAAATTTATGAATTGTTTAGTAAATGTGGTGACATTAAAAGAGTAATCCTTGGTTTGAATCGAATTACCAAAACACCATGTGGTTTCTGTTTTATAGAGTAAGTCAGCTTCACTATTTAATGTTTTCAATTTGCTAATCTTTCATTTTCAATTCATGCTTTAGGTATTATGACCGAGAAGATGCACATAATGCTATTCGTTATATTGGTGGAACTCGACTAGATGAACGTATCATAAGAACTGATTGGGATGCGGGATTCATCGAAGGTCGACAATATGGAAGAGGCAAGGCTGGAGGCCAAGTTCGTGATGAATATCGAACTGATTATGATCCAGGCAGAGGGGGCTTTGGAAAATATATAGCCAAAAAACTTGAAGGAAATCCTGGTCCTTCGGAACCACCGAAAGTTATGTAAACTTGTGCTGTCATTAAACTCTAGTTAAGTTCTAGAGAAAGCATCTCATTTTGACTATTACAGATGATACACAATTACATTCAAGCCCCAAAGAGCTAAAATTATCCGAAGAAAATGATAATCATATTGTATCTCCTTTCTCAAATAGGCGACTATATTTCCATTTTTATAAACGAAGTTGATTTAATTCAACTTTATCTCCTTTTTTGTAAATGTGTTTGTAAATAAATGACCTAAACATTAATTTCGACTATGGTTCTGAAAATTATAAAATTTATCGTAAAACTATCTCTTTCGGACTCACAATTCCATTGTTAGCTGAAAAGTAAAACAGTTGAATTATTATCTGCTAGCTATTTCAAGGTTCGCTGATTCTATTTTGGTTCAATTTTCCATCATTTTGCTAAAACACTTTTCGATGTTTGGTGCAACACAGCACTCAATTATACAATATTAACTCTTGACATAATCAATTAACAGAATTAACACACTTTTAGTTTCTTCCAAAGAAAACTATGAAAGGAAAATATTAAAAATATAAAACGTTTACTGTATCTTTTATTATTAGTGTATTTGTGTGATTGCTGACTTGGCCTGCAAAATAGTTTATTTGAGTTTTTCTAGCAATACTGGTCACTTGAGATTTATACTCTTTTATCACAGAGTGACGATTTTGGCCATTCTTATCTCATATCAATCTGATGGCTTCGAGTTCAAAAGCACTCGACTTCTGACTTTAACTCAGTAACTGACACCAAAACGAGTGCCACTGGTGAGATTTGATATTAAAACAAATCACTTGCGGCATGATCTGGTGAATAAGTCGGATGTCAGAATTTTTAATTAACGCACAAGAAAAAGCAACGAATGAACTGGAAAAATATCAAATCAACCAGAGATAAATAGCAAAGAACACAAAGCATTATCTGGTATCCTTGACCTATTCGAGTCATGATCAACGTAATACTTGTGTTGGTTTCTAAAGCAAATAGCCTTGTGGTTATAATGTTGGATGGATGAATTTTGATTTTGCAGATTGAAAAAAGGGTTGAGGTTGTTGGCTGTAATAAATAGTTATTAGTTTCTTGTATATTTTTCGGTTATAATTCTTCAATTTATGCCTAAAGCGAAAGCACAATTGAGCCACAATAATGGCTGGATGTTAGTAAATTATGATAAATAAAAATAATCGCTTATTACGATTCTATTAAAGTTTTGTTCAACATATTGATGTTATTTATTCATTTATTCAATTCGACTATTTTGATATCCCGCGTTTCAATTTTATTGATAATTTAAACGCCATCTGTTGAATCTGGAAAATTTGAATGTTTCAAGTGTCATTAGTCTCACATTTCATTTAATTGACGGAAAAGAAATGATTAAATTGAATTTTATCTATTCATTTGTAAACATTATCAAATGATTTGGATTCTTCATTATACATACTGTATACATTCTTCAAGCTACAGTCGACTTTGCTATCTGTTTACTCTATCCTCGGACCTGTCCAAAGTCAACCCGAAATCTCGTTGATCTGTGAATATTTTTCAGGTTATCAAATGATTTATTATAATTATTTTACCGTAGGATACCATTAGAAACAGGTTAGTTAAGGTGTTAACCTCACTCTTGCAGAGAATCTTGAACAATCAGAGCTAACCACTAAACATTTTAGTTTTTTGTTTCCCTATTTTTGCAGAGTCATTGTGATTCAGCTGATTCAGCAAGCTCATTTTGAATCATTGTATATTGATTGATCGTCTTCAATTTCCCAGTTCTTTAGCTATAACTATTTTTATTTTTTCTTTTTCTGTACTTTTCGTGTCTTGTCTTTTATCTTTTTGTATCTCTACGGATTACCCACTAATTTAACAATACCTGTTAGGAGCTGATTGGTACCTGAACCATGCGGGCCAAAGAAGGAACCCATTTGAAGAAAAAAGCCAACATAAAACAAGAGAAATTAAATCTATCTTCTGATGATGAGTATGATTTAGTTTCAAATGAGGAATCAATGGAGATGGATGGTGTAAATAGTGTTGGTATCAGTGATTCTTCTACCAGTGCTGTTAACTCATCTTCCAATGTGAACGCTTTTATACCGGGACAAATAATATCTGATGATGATCTGGTTACCCTTTCCGTGCGTGAGCTTAACCGTCAATTGAAAAATTCAGGACTATCCAAACAGGAGATCATCCGAATGAAACAGAGACGTCGGACCCTCAAGAACCGTGGCTATGCTGCATCGTGCCGTAACAAAAGACTAGAAGTAAAAGGAGGTTTGGAAGGTGACAAAATGTCGGTTGAGGAAGCCGTTCTGCGGATAAAAGAAAATGTGTACAACTTAAGGCAAGAAATTGAAGAGATTCGGGATAAATTTGATGGACTTAAACGACACGCTTCTCAACAAGGTATTTTAATTCCCCCTGAATTGGCTCATTTCATTGATTTTGGATCCTAACTTGTATTTAATGTGTAAAGCTCATGATCATCGCTTGTTGCTCATTGAAATCATATTTTTTGTCCTCCAAAGCTGCGAGTTCCGAACGTATTCATACATAAATAAATATTGTTATAAAATTAAAGTTCAAATATCACTTCATTATTTATCATCAATTTCTGTCCCGTAAAATCTTGGCTCTGATTCAATGGAGAGAGCTGTTAAACCTTTTATTAAATATTGTATAAGTATTTTCAAGAGACTTGATTTTTTTATTCAAATCATAAGATTCAAATAATTATTCAATTAAATTTGGTTGAGAGTGAGAGGGATTAAATTAATAGTGATAACAAATTCAAAATTATATTGATTTTTACTATATTTCATTTCTCTATTTACATTTGGAAGAAAGCAATAAATTAGTCATAAGCAAATTGCTGTCATTTAATAATAACTTTTCGTTGCGAAATATTACAAGTTGTCTATTAATCAATATAGCATTTTATTAAAAACCATTAAACAAACCATTTGCATACAAATTTGTAGCTTTAGATTAGCGTCGTGATTTTTTAAACATTGCTTTTTCTTGAGCGATATCAGCCAATAATTTTTTAACTTTACGCTTTCTGACATCATCTTTAGCGATTGTATCTTTGAGAATTGTGTCTCTAACAAAAGCGTTATCTTTTCTCAATTCTCGAGCCGTGCTCTTGTATTCACGTTTGTATTTTTTCTGTAACTTTTTCTTATCATCTTTACGTTTGTAATTAGATAATCTTGGTTCCAACATGGTTACCATAAAAGGCTTTCTTTGTTCAAATGATAAGCTTGATAATTCTCTGGGCTCGTTAAATTGTTCAAGTAGCACAAATAGTCGGTCGGTCATAGGTTTAGGCAGCTTTTCTTGAAGAATACTAAGAATAGGAGTTATCTTGGAAAATATTGGTGCAAAAGAATCAAAATTTCTGAAATGGGGATATATTTTCTCTATCAAATCAACAACAGCAACCAAAATAATTGATTTAGCTTGATTTGACGAGCTAATATTTCCTTTGAAAAGAGATCTAAGGGAAAATTGAGGAAGATTTTTGAACTCCATATCTTCAGACCAGGCCAGAATCTCAGAACTTGCAATCTTATCGAAAGCAAAAGTTGGGATAAAAATTGTTTTATAAACAGGTTCAAAAAGTACCAAAATATTTTGTATGCTCATGGTAATTTCAGGAAAATATTTATCAGGGTAAATTGAATGCAGCAAATCGCATATCAGCAAACGCTTACCAATTTCATCAATAGAATTATATCTTAAATTTCTTAAGAAATCGATGAACTTTAAGAGAACATAATGCTCAAGTTCTTTAAAAGATATCAGGAAAACTAATATTGCGATTGATTTCAGCGAACATATCTTCATTTCTTTTGCTTTTAACAAAGCGTGAAATTTTTTTACCACAGTGGAATTTAATTTTTTGATCTCCAGATCCAGGAGAGAGTCAACGCATCTCAAAATTATATCCACATCATCTGTTGTTACTATATTTTGCAAATGTTCAGTAATAAGAACACTCGAGCTTGGTTTCACATCTTCGGTTTTTACAGCTTCTTCGGGTTTTGATACAGTAGCTTTTCGATCATCTCCTCCAAACATCAACTGATTGAGTAAAATGTCATATTCTTCAGTCTCTTGTATTACTGTTTCATCCTTGGCTCCTTTGTGTTTGATTAGATTTCTGACTGTTGACCAATTTTTGTCAAGTTCCTCTGTTAATCTGATATTTTCTTCTTTTTCTATTTGTTTTTTCCTTTTGTCATCCATAACGATTTTCATGAAATCCTCTGATGAGAGTGGAGCACCAGTCTCACCTCCACCAAAATGAGCAACATCAACATAATCTCCTCTCCGTAGAAGATCAAATTCCTCGTCGTCATCATCATCTATTGAAACCATTGAAAAACAAAATTAATTTACTTATTCAAAGACATAAATGTTCCATAAATTACCTTGAACCGGCTGATTAAGTCTTTCGTCGTCAAGTTCTTCTCCTTTGTGAGTTAAATTAGTTTCTTTCTCGTGACTCACTGGAACATCTTGATATAATTTAGCCTTTCTTGATGTTATAGCAGCACGTTGATCAATCACACCTTTACCAGACTTGTTTAGATTCTTTAACTCAGGTAAAATAGTTTCTTTCCTTTTTTGTGTAGCAATATGACGAGAATGAAGAGGCTTACCAGTTTCCCATTTCATAGGACGACGACCTAAAATTTTATGCTTTTGGCGATTCACATGAATGTCAAACGGATTTATTTGCTCAGTAGGTTTGCTCTTCTTCATGGTTTTGAATTTCATTTTCACACTTTACACAGAAATGATAAACAAGAAAATACAATGATTATAAATTATAACACAACAAAAATGTGTCTTAAAACACGAGTTTAAAAATCACAATGCGTGCAAGTCAAAGATGTGAAAACATTTGGAGTTACCAGGGTAAGCTGCAAACAACCGCGAGTTTTAAACTTCACTGGTCAGTTTTTCTTATTCATTTTTGAATTTCCATTATTATTGATGCATTTTAAAGTGAATATAACCATTTAGAAAGAAAAATGCATTTCGATTATAACAATCAAAATTTCTATTAAAATTAAACTAAAAATAAAACTAAAATTTTAATTTTTTAATTAAGGACCAAATTTTTTTCTTCACACTCTTAGCATTTAACTCTTTCTCGTGATTTTTAAAGATTAATTATCTCAGGTTAATTTTCAGAGCGACAATACCTATAAAAAATAGAAGAATTGAAACAAATTGGTTTTATAATTGCTAGAAAAACATGAATTTAATTGATCAACATTGTATCAAGTCTTAACGGATCTTGATAGCTATTATCCGAGTCTTCAAGTTCACCTTCTGTGAAATTGAAGCTGCTGAAGTTAAAATCTATTTTTTTAATTTCATACATTCCAATTTAAAATATTAGTTTCTCAGTTTAATTGTGATTTGAATCTTCATTCCAACCTTATTCTATTAACTACGGAGTCATGACTTTTTGGAGAGAAGCAGGTTTAAAGTAAGTTAAAAAACAATTGAGTTGAGATACCACATTACTAACTATTATTTCTATTTTTCTTAGCTACATCCAATATAGCAGGATTGCAGCTCGGATTGTGCGGCAGTCATTGAAAAAGGATGTCAAAATTACTGATAAAGAAGGGAGAGGTCAATCAACAATAAAAAAAATTGAAGTTAAGAAAAACTAAGGACCAAAAGGATGTAATGTCATCGAATATATTGCTGAACAACTCGGATTTCAGATGTAAAATACTTTACTATTAAAAGTATCTATTTTAAAGTGGAAATCTTGTACAGCTTTTCAATTCTTTATTGACACACAAGTAAAATTATGTTAACTTAAGTTCATCATTGGAAACAACAATGATGAATCCTATTTTATTAGAAGACAATTGATGTCTAGCGGGTTGATCCGAAGATAAATCATGTGCTTTTCACTCTCGTAATTAGAGTCTAGTAAACTGTTCAGCAATTATCAGTAAAGATTAGGTTGGGAAGAATATAAAGTACACTGAAAAAATGTCTTAACAGAAGAAATCAAAACATGGAAAAATTCCATACTGCATGCTCTATGTAATCAAATCGTATACTTAATAATTACAATTGATTTTTAAAGAATGTAAGTGGGAAAATAGATTTCAAATAGAAGTTCTATAATTTCAATTAATTCAGTGTAACTCCAGGTGGCTTGTATCCAATGGATACAGCATGTTCAATGTTTAAATTTCAGAAACCAAACACATGTTTATGTACATCATATTTTAAATTGTTACCTGATGTTTTCATCGATATTATTTCGAAGTAGAATAAATAATTTTAATATAATCAATCATAGATGGATTCACAAAAGAAAAAAAATCTGGTCTATGACTATGACTGAGTTCCTCAAAGACTCTGATGAATTGCCTGTCTACCAATATACTACCAAAGATTCATCAAAACTTCATGACAAGATTTATGTTTGGGGATTCGGTCATACTGGTGCTCTTGGGCTAGTGAATTTCTCAAGAAAGGGTAAAAGTGGCATTTGTTCAACGCCGCGTAAAGTGGGTGCTTTCTTTACAAGCAAAGTGAAAGATGTTGCCTGTGGTCATGGATTTACTGTTTTTGCTGCAGACTCAACATCAGTGGAAACTCAACTATTCGGTACAGGTGTAAATACAGACCATCAGCTAGGTTATCATCGAATAGCGGAAGGGGAATTAACTGTGCTGACAAGGCCAGTCGCTATTTATTTTCCACAAAATATTAAATCTCCAAAAATCAAGCAAGTTGCTTGCGGTAGGGCCCATACCATCATTTTGACAACTGATAACACCCGTAAGTATATTTAGATTATCTTTCTATTACTGTACTGATATTCTCTTTACATACTCGTTTTTCTAATTTCTAGTATATAGTCTTGGTAACAATTCATTTGGACAATGTGGTGTGCCTATTCTTGAGAAAAAACCCAAGTTAGATTATACTCTTATAAATGAAATCCATGGAGTTCCCGGTATTGTCGAAAAGGTTTAGTATTTATACTTTCATATCCAGATTTTGACATCTTTGCTTTTTCTTCAATAGGTTGTATGTGGCCAAGATCATACTCTTTTCTTATTGCAATCTGGGGAAGTCTACGCTTGTGGATGGAGTGCTGACGGTCAAACAGGTTTAGGATATCGAAACGTCTCGATTCCCACCAAAGTTTGTGGAGATATTGATGGTGAAAAGATAGTTGATATTTCAAGTTTTTCTGATGGAGTGTTGGCTTGTAATGGTAAATTCATTTTTCCATGATATGTGTTCAATAGAATCCTAAATTTGTTATTTTTCTCTTTACAGACAAGGGTGATGTTTTCTGTTGGGGAAATTCAGAATATGCTCAATTTGGCCTTATAAGTGATAATTATCAAGTTGATATCCCGAAAAGATTACCTTTATCAGTTGGAAAAGTGAAGAAAGTTGCTTCAGGAGGAAGCATATGCGGCTTAGTTAATGGTATGATGGGTTATGACTGAATGTTTCATGGCTGCATATTTTGGTCAATGAATGCTGCATGCAAATAAACTTTTCAAATCTATTTGAATTTAGATAAAGGACAAGTATATGTCTGGGGCTATGGAATCTTAGGACAGGGACCAAACGTTCAGCAATCATCAAAGCCTCTCCTTTTACCAGAACCTCTTTTTGGTTGCAATGATGTTAATCCTGACGTAGAAGTTGTTTCGATTTATGCTGGATTCAGTCGATGGGCAGCAGTCAATAGTATGTAAATCTGGAGCTCATAATTACTTACTTATCCATTTCTCATTGATATTTTATCTCACAGGCAAAGGTGATCTCTTTTGTTGGGGGAAAAATCGACTCGGCTGTCTAGGCTTCAAAGATCAAGCGGATCGTTACTTTCCTATGAGAGTGAGTTGATATCTTCATTGATTTTGGGAAGCATAAAATTTTTTAAGAATGCTTATTTAAAATCTGTACTTTTTTATTCTTTAGGTGAACCTTCCTGTAAATGTAACCAAAGTTAGCCTAGGAGCTGATCACACTGCTATTATTGGTAGAAGTGTTGTTTGATTATTTGTCACAACACCAAGTGTTGGACGTTCTTCTTAGTTTATCCTTTTACTAATTTAAGATTGGTCACAGTTTTCAGGCAATCTTATTTCTGTGTACATTAATTGTGTTAATATTTGTATATGAAAAAATATGTTATTTAATTCATTTTTGATTGTACCTCAAAATCACGTTAACCTTGATATTCTTCAACAACCTTCAATCTTTTTCGAGTCTGTATGGGCCCTAAAATTTTGAGCCACTTTAATTATTGTGCCTTAACTTATTCAAATGAAAATCAAAAAATAATATCTACACTGTAGTTTAAAAGATCTCTGAATGAAATATAGATAGAAGCTCCAATTAATTCGGAATCAGCTTCAAGCTGAATAGGTAAGAGACAATGGAGCTCAAGTTTATTGCATCTCTTGTTCATTTCATACAATCAATACAGTCTGTCAAAAAAGATACATTGTTGTTTTTTTTGAAATTTCACTCAACTTTAAAAAAAATCAAAAATATCAGCATAAACTTAAAGTATTGCTTTAATCTTTTTCCCTCAGAAGAGGAACTTAAGTTTAAGTTTGAAAGAGTTTAATTCCTGTCATTTACTTCTTTAACTAAATTTTATTAGCTTAAAACAATTAAGTTACACATGCCGACGTGATCAAGGGATTGAAGATCAAAATTTACAGCGGAATCAGTCTCATCTAAAGTTTAGATTCTGAACAGTTGTTCTTTGAAATTAAACATTGTTTAATTGCTAACAATTTTTCTCGATCTATTAGAAAGCAAGTTTTATCAATTAAAACTTCATATCAAATCGATAGACGACAATCAAACCAAACACTGCAGCTGGGATTCATATTTCTCTATTATTCAGTATTTCAGGATTAACTTGATATTCAATAATTAATTGTTATTGAAGTTGGGGCAGTTAACTAAGATAATTATGATTATATTTTTATAATTTATTCTTTGAACAATCTGCAAATTTTTTTGTTTAAAAACTAAGAAAGTTTTATGGCTTAAAGCGTTCAGAATTACTGCAGAGTTTAAAACAAGTTGAACACAGGGTTTTGTGATTAGAGTAATATTATGATAAAAATGTCTTATTATTATAAAAAGACATCTTTGAAATTTGACTCTTAACAGAACTTAAAGTTCAATAGTTTAGTGCTAACTCATATGTAAATTAGTAATGGTGTATCAATTTATGACCGTTTTCAATTTGAGATTAGCAATCCTGTTCATCACAGTTGATTTTTCACAGTGATTCCATCCAAGTTTATTAACTGTCATAACTTTACGATGATCTTCAACAAAATCATCGAAAATAAGGTTTATTTTTTATTCATAAGAGTTGATTTCAAATAAAGTTACATAAAATGATAAGGAGTCGCCCGAAATTTGTTATATTTTGATTTACATGGTTTATATGATTTGAACCAACTTTGATAATCCAAAAAAGTGAATGATTTACCAATTGAGATGAAAAAGGATTTATTTTGGTAAATTGTCGCCTTATGGCCCTACTAGTCTGGCTCAATAGTTGAGATTTTCAAGTACAAAAAAGCAGTCAAAAAATTTTCTGATCAACAGTTTTTGATAAAATCATGTTCGAACTTTAACTTTTCTGTAAGTTGAAGGATTTTTATCAAACTTATGAAGTCATTATCGTAATGAAACAATTTATTTATTGAACTGATGAAGATACAGACACAAATTCAGCAGCAATAAGTAGACCAAGCTCAGAACTTCAAGCTGATAACTTTATAGTTATAGTGCGCGCTATGGCCCCAGATTTAATCCACTTTCATTTAAGGCTTTTCGTGTATCTCTAAAATATGAATAAAACTTTTTACTCGTACTTGTAGTTTGATAAACACTGAACTACTCGCAAAATGCACAAATTTATGGATATCACTGGATATCGACAATCGTTATCATTGACTGTTGAAAATTTTGTAAAATAATACAACTAATGCTAATTTTGCATTACTTCCACTTTTAATCAGTTTAATTTGTACCTGATTGTTTCTACTTACTGCTACATTGTGTCGTTTAATTTTCAACGGAATAACATTCTTACTCGGAAAATGCAATATAACTTCAAAAATTGTGTTTCTTAAAAACTCAGCTCTTAAATTTGAATTGTTATTTTGGTTCATATGTACCGAATTTGTATTAAATGTTTTTAGTGGCAAGCACCATATTGGTACAAGTGGTATTATATTTAACATTTAAATCCAGCTGTAAATCAAAATAGCACTTAAATGGCATCAATAGTCTTCACGACTCGACAAACAAAATAGTTAATAAAATGAATAACAAGAAGATAGTTTTTCACGTGAATTTTACCTGTTGAACATTTCGACACAATTTAACAATGAATTGTGTGTATCAGAGTCGTCATGATGCTTGAAATAACTTTTGTTTCTGATATTTGAATGACAGTTTTCTTGTTCAATATTTTGTATCATAATTCTTGCATTGATCAGAGCCATTCCGATTCATTGATGATTCTGCATTGACTGTCTTTCAATAATAAATTTTTATTGTTTTGTTATTTATAAAAGTGAATTTACGCTTTATTTTTGACCTTAAGCTCTATAAAATGATGACATTGATTGGCATTTTTGTAGTAATTGTAACTTGTTTTTGCTTATTAGGGTTTATAAGCTCGAGAAAAATCATAGTCAAATCAGAATCAAGTGAAACTTTATCAAGTGATATTGGTATACATTATACGATTTGATACAAAGTTGAACATGATCAGACTAATTTGTTTGATTCTTGTTAACTCAATTCTCCAATGTTCGGGAAAAACTATTTCTCTAAATTCCAGTGATTGGAACCTACGAGATGAAAATGAACAATGTAAGTAATAAACTGGTAAATCTAACTTCTAATCAGCATCCATTAACTCTTTTTGTTGTTTTTTAGATGTGATGAACGGTGTTACTGTTCCTGGTGGATTGTACACAGAGCTTGTTGGTCATGGAATCATTTCTGACCCAAACTATGGTTATGATGATTACAATCAACGTTATTACTCAAAGAGGATGTGGACATGGAGAAGAAATTTCGACTGTAAGAAAACATTTAAATTTACTTTCAAGAACTTCTTAAATAATGATTTATTTTGTTATTCTCCTTCTTTCTTTACTTACAGTCAACGGGGATGATCTTAAATCTTCTAATGAAATTTACATCGTTGCTCATGGAATCGACACTGTTTCAAGGGTTTACATTAATGATCAAATTGTTGGTCAGACAAACAATATGTACAGACGATACCGATTCAAGATTAATGACCAACTAAAGGCTGGCTCAAACAGTATCAAGATTGAGATTTTGGATCCTTATGCTTATGCTCAGCAACAATACAATAAATTCAAGGGTCAATATGGTTACGATATGGTTCCTCAATGTTTCCCTGATGGTTCAGAATATGGTGAATGCCATGCTAGCTTCATCCGTAAGATGATGTGGGGATGGGGACCTGCTTTCCGTACCAGTGGCATTTACTTACCAGTTGAAATTGAAATTATTGAGGCTAAAAACACATTGGAGAACTTCTGGACCACAATTACACCATTAGATGATAAAAAATGGTCCATTGACTTGAATCTAGCTTTAGCTCGACCAGAATCGGGTAAACAAGTCAATGTTGAAGTTACCCTTTCAACTAATGATCCTAATTATGAGCGAGAGTTCTCTATTTACAGTGGATCTATCAATACTGATTCATCTGTCAGCACTTATCGTATTTCTGGTATTCCTGTTGAAAAATCTCGAGTTGGTTATTGGTGGCCAAACGGAGCTACATATGTACAAAACAATCAAATTGTAGCTCGACCTCGCACCTTATACAATGTTAAAGTAACTATCAAGTCTTCAGATGGATCAAACCAACAATCGATGGTCAAGAGAACTGGATTCAGAGAGATTAAATTGATTCAAGAAACACCCAAACGATGGGGAAATGATTACAAGGGACTTTCGTTCCGTTTCGAAGTTAATGGTGAACCTTTCTATATCAAGGGATCTAACTTTTACCCAACATCAGTCCACACTGAGAATGAAAACCGAGACAAGGATTACGTTAGAAAGACTTTACAAGCCGCTGTCGACTCTCAACAAAACATGCTTCGTATCTGGGGTGGTGGAATCTATCAAACTGATTACTTTTACGATTTAGCTGACGAAATGGGTCTTCTTATATGGCAAGATTTCATGTTTGTCTGTGCTACTTATCCTACTGATCCAGAGTTCTTGGAAAATGTTAAGGTTGAAGTTGAACAACAAGTAACCAGATTGGCTCACCATCCAAGTATTGCTATTTGGTCTGGAAGCAACGAAAATGAATTGGCCATTGGTACTCATTGGTGGTGGCCCAGATTAGAAGATAAATACTCAACCTATGTTGAAGACTTCAAGAAGTTGTACACAGAAACCATCAAAACAACCGTCTTTAAATACGACAACACTCGTCCATATGTTGTTTCAAGTCCTTCAAACGGAGCTTTCACTGAACAAAATGGAGGCTTTTCAAGCAACGCTGATGATCACTTCTATGGTGACATTCACTTCTATTACCATGAAGCTGATGCTTGGGATCAAAAGAACTACCCTGCAGCTCGATTCATCTCAGAATTTGGTTTTGAATCATTACCTTCTTATGAATCATATGCAACATCAGTTCCTGAATCAGAACTTGTCTATCCTTTCAGTGGATGGTTAGAGCACCGAGCTAGTGGTGACCGTCTTAAGGAAATTGAAAAAATGGTTGACTATTATTTCGGAAAGCCAACTGAGACTGGTAAAAATGGTTATCTCAAGATGACTTATTTGTCTCAACTTCTTCAAGCCGTTGCTAATAAACGAGAAATGGAATTTTTCCTCCGAAATCGTGAAGTTAATCCAAATGATGGATCCGGTCTAACCTGGGGTGCAATGTATTGGATCTTCAATGATATTTGGGTCGCTTCTGGTTGGTCAACCATTGAATTCGGAACTGCAAAATGGAAAATGGCTCAATATTATCTCCGAGATTCTTACAAACCAGTTTTTGGTCAACTTTATGTAGAGAATGATCAATTCCAGGTTGTTATCAACAACGATGTTTCTGGTAAAGTTAATGTTGCCATTACTATCGATGTGCATCAACTTGATTCATTCAATAAACAAACGATTGGAGACCAAACTAATGAAGTTGAGAGGTAAATTGTTTTTCATTGAATTCCTGCCATTCTTTATTAATTTGTCGATTAATTTTATTTTTTTGTTATCTCTATAGTTTCGCAGCTACCATGGTTTATGGTAAAAAATTGAGTGAAGCTGTTACCTCTGATTTTAAAAACTGTATTGTCAAACTTAAGTACAGTACTGTTCAATCATCATCAATTGATGTCAATTCTGGTGAAAATTTCCTTCTTTTGGCTAAACCTAAAGAATTGAACTTGAAACGAAGTAACATTAGCATCAATTGGGTTTCAAAAGACGACAGTGATTATGCCAAGAAAGCACTCAAAAATTACTCGAATGTTTATAAAATCAATTTATCCACTGATTATCCAGCTCTATTTGTTTGGCTTGACTTCAAGGTAGGATCTGGAATGGACGGAGTCTTTTCAACTAATGGTTTCAACATGCTTGAATCTTCCAAAGAAGTATTCTTCGGAACAAACAAACAAGTCTCAACTGATGATATTAAAAATTCATTAACTGTCACTCATCTTAAAGAAAACATGAATTAATCTGTAATTGTATTACTTGATTAAGAAGCATCAAATAAATAAATATTAATACATGATATAATAATCATTCTAATGCTCCAAGAGTTAATTTTCAAAGACAATTTGTTGCGATTGGGTTATAATTAGATATCGAAAATAATCAAAAAATTGATTTGCTGAATCGATTCATCGATCAGCTTTACTTTTTAAATAAATTAAAACACCAATTGAGCTGCATTTTAATCGTTTGACAATTAATTGCTTGTATTACCCGATACACTCAAATAAATTACAGGTTTACACTTGTGAAGTAATTTATTTTTCTGGTCTTTTCTATTGCTAAATTATTGACATTGACATTGACATTTTCATGGCTTGTGCTTCAAATAGTAAAGGTTAGTTTAATAATTTAATGATTTTTTTTACAATTTCTGTTCTTTATTGATCTATGCTTAGTTAACACAATAAAAGTGAAATTGGTCGACGACGAGGATTTTCATGACCTGGTCATTGATTGGTCACTAACTGAATATGCTGAGAGACAAGTTTTTCGTCAAGTAAGTAACTTTTACTATTTAATTTTTGGTAATCTTGAATAATTCTGAATTATGAAAAGCTAGCACAAATTACTGGAATACCAGTTGAAAACACAAGCGGATTTATCATTTTGAAACATGAGAATGCGATGACATTAACAGTATCTGCGCTCAACAATGTCCAACGGTGAGCAACTTCACAATTAGAAGCCAATTTTCGAAACAAGCGTATTCACATAATTTTGTCTTATTTTCTATTCAAATGCAAGTCAACACAATTTCACAAGGGATCGTGTAATGAATGTGGTGGAAGAAGGAGATAAATTTTATATTTCAACAACGTTTCATTGTCGAATGGATAGGCGTTTGTGGATTGGTTATAGGCTGGTTGACGAAAATTTAACTGAACAATTCAACTGTACGCCAGATTTTTGTCGGCACTCAAATACCCGAGCCATAATTGATAGACAGAGACAATTAGTTACTAATGAAATGTTACGCGTTAGATTGTCCCAACAACTTGCTATAAGTAACATTAATCAATGGAACCGAGTTTTTAAAGATTTAAATATTGCTCAACATTTTAATCTGATTTGTTCACTAGAAGTTCCAATCTAGTAATTCCGAGCTTTATAACCGTAATCGAGGATAATCTTCATAATCTTCATTGCTAATATTTTTTGCTCATGATCTCATAATTTCTTGTAAATGCATCGATCACTCACATAATTATTCAAACACCACAGCCGATGAGCTTTTACAATTTTGACAATAAAGCAAAATATCTTTTGTTCAACTATTTTACAAATTTCACTTCATGACAAGCAATTCATGTATCTGGAAGAGCCATTAACGTGAGGCACTTGATATTCTATATGATATTCATTATCAAGAATTTTTCAGATAAGCGCACTTGAAAGAATCTCCTCAGCACAGCTCATAGCGACTACCATACCGCCATCATATTCATTGATGATAATCAATATTCAAGATCAAACTTGACTCGATGGTCATGAATATCTATTTTACGAAGGGTGTAAAAAGCTTTACCGATTCACCCCAAAAAGAGTTCTTAATTCGTCACATTTGTTTTATTTGAATAAGCATCATCCCTAGATGTCAAACAAAGATCTGTTAGTGATTGTTAGTAATTGTCTCTCAGGAAATAAATATCAACAGGGAGTTGACTGATCTAAGCTCTTGAATACTTGTATTCAATTTTTTAATCCTAAATAAAATAATAAAAGTTCGTTTGAAAGTCCTCGTTTTATAAAAATAGGACTTCCCTAATGACAAAATATCTTTAAATCGAAAATATTCATTTTAATTCAAATTCATTTTTTAATATAATGCAATCTTCAAAAGGAAATGAACAAAAGGTGAAATATAATAAGAAAAGACAGACATATGGATTAGAGTTTTCTTTGTGATTGATTATAAAAAGTAGAGTTGGTTTGCTAAAGTATGATCAGGCTCCTGATGGATGCAATTACCAATCAAAAAGGCCAATTTATATGCATAATGACATGGCGCTGGAACAGAAATTGTACCCTATTCAAAAGAAATATTGAATGAAGAAATTAGAAAAGGTTAAATAGGAAAAGGAATGAAATTTTGAATCAACTTACAGTCCAATTATAATAAAGATGACATAATTTGTAGGCCAGTAATTGATGATGGATCGGTTTCCATCGAGTGGTATCCTTTATTATGTTATACATGGTTGGATTGACGGTTCCAAATCGAACTGATTGACTGATTAGATAAAAATCGTATCTCTCCTTTCGTGTTACAACTGAATCGACGACAGTACCGGCAATGGGATTCTTTACAGGGTCATTTGGACCTGGTCTCAAGAAAAATCTTGCGTTAACTCGCTTATTAACAATTGTGAATGCAATTCCAGCATCTTTGAGGTCTGGATGTTCACCAAGAAGGGCTGATATTTTCTTAACTTCGGTTTTATAAATAAAGCCAATTTGTCCCTCTGAAACACCATCACGATAGATAATTATACGCTCGGGAAAACGGTTGTTTTCTCGATTCCAAGCTTTCAGTCCACCTTGAAAAGCCAGGGAAAAATATTAGAATTAAAAAATATCAAAGTAATAAATTGAGAAATAAATAAATAAAACTTACTTTTGAGATTGGCTGTAAAATTAGAAGACATTTCTTCGAATGTTTTATGATAAGAAACTTGGGAAAACCATGAAGTTGATTTTGCGTTTGTGCTACAAACAAAAGCTCCAACGGTTCGGCCTCTTTTAGCAGTGTCTTTACAAGTATTAAAACCAACAAACATTGTACTTTGAGCCTAGTTTAAATGAAAAAATATTAATCAATCATTTAAGGTCTAAAATTTGATAGAAAAAAAACGAAAATATTTACTTACCGGAATATGGACTGACCATGCTTGAGCACCCATTTTGATGGACATTTGAAGCACAAGTTTAGTAGAAATTGTAAGTTGCTTTTTATTCAAGACTCTGAGAGTTAAAACTTGAGTTGGACAGGGTTGTTCGCAGCAAAAATACCGTTTGATTGTATTGTATCGCTCTCGATTGTTGTTAGGTACAACAACATGAACCATTTTAGCCCCTTTTGGAATTTTACGACAAGTCTCAATATAAGTTGATGTTCGATCATTTTCAAGCCAATAAAATTTAGGAGCATCGAGTTTGATTCCTAGTGGTCTTGCAACGTTTACCAAGGAATCAAGATACTGTTCAACTGTACCCCTTTCACGCATAGGGGCAACAATCACCCAATATTCCAAGGCAACCGGTTTAATCAGCTGTTCAGATCTTATAAGGGAATCAAAAGATCCAGATTGTTGTTCATATGGAATTCCACGGGTTTCGTCAGTCAGGAAAATCTGTTCAGGAGGCAGAACTCTTCCATTTACTTCAGCTGGGTAAGGATCTAATGCTATGTTCCATTGTTCCATTTCGGCTCGAGCTTGTTCGCTGTTAATTATTTTTTCCACACTTTTTTTCATTATATTTAGCCTTTCAACTGGATCCAGGCGAATGTGTTGATCCAATTCACGTCGAAATGACATGTCATTCTTCATGCTCTCAGTGATGCCAGTTAATATACACAGTTCAGGTATAAGGACAATATCTCGTTTAATTCCTCCGCGCTGTTGTTTCTCAGTTGGTTTAACCAAAAGGAGAGGTTGGGCATCATCTCTTACTTCAATTGTATATTGATCTTTATAATAATCTTTTAATGAGATTGATGTACCTTGTTTATCAAAGCGATAGGTGACTGGATTTTTATCGAAAATAATGTCATCAATCCGGTAAGTCTTTTTATTGTAACTAGACATAATAATTGAGCCACTTAGTTCACGACGAGCATTATTTCTAAAGAATTGTTTGTCGTGTTGCCAAAGCCGCTTTAATATGTCAAGAGCTGAGTCTCTTCTTATAATTTTATGTAAGCAGCTGATGACAGTCATTATACCTCCATCATGTTCATTGATAGCAGTCAATATACCAGGCCAGACTTCAACTCGATGGTCAGGAATGTCTTTTCTTTCAGCTTGGTTGAAAAAATTGTTCCCGATCTGGATCATTCCAATTAACTTGAGATTACGTCGCATCTGTGTATTGTAAAGACGCAGCATTTCTGGATGGCCCCATGAAATCTTTCCAGTGGGCTTGATAGTTAGTGTAACACTCTGCCTATTGTGTGAACATACGGCTTGAAGGCTCAATGGCTCTGCGATTTCTCTTAAAGCCTTTATATCAGCACCACCGTCGTAAATGTAAGTATTGTCAAATACCTCGCGATGTGAATGAATAAGCTCTCTTCTGATTTTAGGAGACTCAACAATCGGGTCAAAATTTACGTGATATCCATAGATAATCACATTGGTAGGAGTTATCATCAAAAAATGATTTGAATAAAGACGAACAGGTGCTCCTCCTTGACCCACCTTGGTAATTAAATCCGGAGGAATTGTCCGTATTGGTGCTTCAGCAGCAAACTGGCGAGGAGGTCTGACAAAACGTCGATGTGATGATGATGCTCTGCCTCTAGCACGAACAGGAGCTGAGCCACTTGTGGACATCTTTAACTTATTTAAAAACAAATTGAAATAAAACAATTATAAATGTATTGAAGTTGACAAGGAACTTGGACACTGATAAATAACTAAGCACACGAATAAGCACAAGTCGACTTGAGCAATAATGAAATTATTTTGATCTAAGATTTTACATCCAACTAACTTAGTAATTGTCTCACAGGAAATCAATATCAACAGGGAGTTGACTGATTCAGCCTTCTGAACATTTTGTACTTAATTATTTCATCCTAAATATAATAATAAAAGTTCGTTTTGTTCTAAAACAAAAAATGACCTAATATTTTGAATAACGAAACAGTTCGAAGTGTTAAACATTGTATTCATTGCATTGGGAATTGATATACAAGATTGGTAAGCAAATATGGCTATAATTTGACTAATGAAAATATTAACCCTTGATAGATTTCAAAATTAATCATAAATTGAATTAGTGCTAGATTACAAAAGTTAAAATACTAATTGAACATTATTCTTAGAAATATTTGGTTTTTATAACTTTAATTCGTAAATATTCATTTTAATCCAATTAAATCCCATGAAAAAAGAAAACTTTGATTATATTTTAATGATAATTCAGATAAAACCTTAATTAATCCAATAAATACAAAAAATAGATAAAACTTTAGAGTTGGAAAACTGTTTTCTGGTCATTTACCTTATTTAAGGCAAAGAAATTTTTCTGGTCAAACCAAATGACCAGAAAATAACAATAAAGGGACCATTACTTAATAAAATATGTTCTATTCTACCTTTATCATGATTTTCATGAATAATTACAATAATATAATCGATTCTTATTAAAATCATCTCGGCGAAACAAGTGATTAAATCATAACAATAAAATTCTAATTAAACTCAGCAGATTTGATTGAATCTCTCTGCATTAACAATTGAAGACAAATGAAGCAAAGGTAAAGGCAAATTTCATAACAAATGCTTCATCATTTACCTGTGCTACCACTACATGGCACCACCTTTTATCGTTATGTAGAAGTAAAAAACATGAATTTGAAAAACTGTTTGTCCAATTTTCTATAACCACACCTAGCAAACTTTCTTTTATTTTTCATGTCCAATTCATTTTTTTATAAAAACCAACTGGTTGAATTGGAAACAATTTGACTGAGACATGATTAAAACATATTGTTTTCATTGAAACTCAATTATTCACGTTATCCTTAAATGTGTAATCCAGTGTAACTTTACTTGAAACGTTTATTTCGTTTTGGTTTTTTTCAACCTAAATCGTTATGACTTTTCTGGGAATCTCATCTTGTTTAATATTCCTCTTCATTTCCGTTGTAAGTGGGGAAATTTTGAATCTCGATGGCCAATCTTTTGTGATTAGAAAACTTCAAACCTCATCATTCCATGACACAATATCATTAAAATTTCGAACCAACTCAGCAAATGGCAATCTCATTTACAGCCAAGGAACTCAGGGGGATGTTTTCTCTCTGCGAATGCAAGACAATAAAATTGTGTTGTCCCTCAACTTGGGTAACCAAGAACAAGTTAATACTATTACTGCCGGTAGCCTTTTAGATGACTCCGATTGGCACAGAATACTTATTTCTAGAAATAACCGTGATCTCAATTTAACTGTAGATGACCATACAGTTGAACATAAAATAACAGGTGATTTTGTGAGATTGGATCTCAATGATAAGGTTAGTGAAATTTTATTTGGGTTTTTGCCTGTTTTTACCTCTTGCTAATATTTTTTTTTTCCTATAGCTATATCTTGGTGGGTTACCTGCAATCTCAAATTATGACAATGTAGTAAAAGAAAATTTTACTGGATGTATTCAGGATTTATTATTAAATGAAACCAATATCATACAAGAGTTGACATCAGAAGATTTTCTTGATTCTAATTCAAGACCTGGTAATACATGTTGGGTAAGTAAAATATCTCATTTAAAAATCGTACACATATTTGCTTTTAGTTTAAGATAGTGTTAGTTCGCAAGTATTTTATTATCGATAAAAAGTTTTTGATTACTCATCCATCTCAATGAGTTATCTCAACCGTATAGCATGTATCCACTTCATTATATATTTTCTCATTTGATGAGGCTCACATTTCTTAAAGATTATAAGATATTCGTTATTTGAAACATGTAAAACTTATCTCTGTCTTTTTTTATAGCTTAAAAAACTTCCGTCCATTACATTCCAATCTGCCTCAGCTTATATCAAGGTTGATGCACCTATAAGCAATCGCTTGGATATAAGTTTTGATTTCCGGACTTTCAACGAAGATGGCGTTCTTCTTTATCATAAATTTTCATCGGAAGGGTTCCTAGCTACTTCTCTCAACAAGCGAAAGCTTTTGATAAATTTGGAAACCAGAGAAACAAATCGCTCATCCTTGATACTTGAACCATTCCACACTAAAAATTTGAACGATGGGTTCTGGCATAATTTACAAATCAGTTTAAAGACCAATCAACTATTAGTCATTGTTGATGAACAAGAATCCATCACTAAAAGACAAATGTCGATGACAAGTGGTCAATATTATGCCATTGGAGCTGGATGGTTTGCCAAAACTGGTTTCATCGGTTGTATTCGTAACTTAAATGTCAGCGATGTGCTGATCTCTCTCGATGAACTGACTTCAGATCGAATCGTTTCAACCTATCCTGGTGACATTATTCAAAATGGTTGCAAAATGGTAGATAGATGTCATCAAAATCCTTGTGAGCATCGTGGTATATGTAGACAAGATCATGACTCATTCACATGTGATTGCACAAATACCGGTTATACTGGTGCTGTATGCCATGTTCCTAATCATCCTTTATCATGTGATGCCTATCGTATTGCAAATTCAGTACGACAAAAGCAAAGTATTATGATAGATGTTGATGGTAGTGGGCCGCTTGAACCTTTCCAAGTTACATGCCAATTCCATGGAGATCGAACACAAACTTTCCTTCATCATAAAAATGAAGCGCCAACTGATGTCACTGGTTATGAAGAACCAGGTTCTTATCATCAAGATTTGACATACAACGCTGACTTTGATCAAATTACTGTTCTAGTAAACAAATCATATAGTTGTAAGCAGTTCATAAAATATGAATGTAAAAACGCCCGACTTTTCAACACTCCATATCAATTGCAAAAACACTTCAAACCCTTTACTTGGTGGATGAGTAGAAATAATCAGAAAATGTCTTACTGGGGAGGATCCCTTCCAGAATCAAGAAAATGTAAATGTGGGCTTTTTGGCAATTGCCGTGATCCTAGTAAATGGTGTAATTGTGACTCTATGGGAAGCTATGAGTGGGGTGTCGATGAAGGTGAATTAACTGAGAAAGAATTTCTTCCCGTTCGATCTATTCGTATTGGTGACACTAGTACTGGAACTCCTGAAAAGCGAGCTCGATATACCATTGGTCCTCTTATCTGTGAAGGTGATATGATGTTTGACAATGTAGTTACTTTCAGACAACATGATAGTATCATTCCAGTTAATATTGAAACAACTGGATTCTCTTGGGATATTTATCTTCAATTCAAGACAACGATTGAATATGGTGTACTTTTCCATGCACGAGGGCCTTACGACTTTATAAAATTAACAATCTTCTCAGCAAAAGCAATACAATTTGTTTTTGACTGTGGTTCAGGTAGCCAAAAAATCGAAATTGAAACTCCATACAAACTAAGTGATGACAATTGGCATTCGATTTTGGTTGAATGGAATCAAAAAGAAGCAACTTTACTGGTTGATGGTAAAATGTCTCACAAAGTTTCTAATAGTTTACCTAAATTTAGATCAATGGAGTTAAAGTCTCCATTGATTGTTGGCGCGTCCGTTGATCAAAAGGAAGGATACTTGGGATGTTTACGAGCTCTTTCATTTAATGGCCAGTTCATTGATCTTGTTAGGATAGCAAAAGAAGGTGATTCAGGACGATCTTTATATGGAATAGCTCCTGGTTGCGTTGGAAAATGCCAATCAAGTCCTTGTCTTAATAATGGTACATGTTATGAAAGATATTCTAGTTATTCCTGTGATTGTCAATGGACTGCCTTTAAAGGCAGAATATGCGCTGATGAATTTGGAGTTAATTTGAAAAGCGACAATTTCATAAAATATGATTTCGAATCGACTCTTTCAACGTTAGAAGAATTCATTAGAGTTGGTTTTACAACCACTGAAAACAAAGGCCTTATTCTTGGTATTTCATCATATTCCGGTGAATATCTTAATTTAATGATGTCAACAAGCGGTCATTTACGACTTGTATTTGATTTCGGATTTGAAAGACAAGAGCTGATCATTAAAAGTGAAAACTTTGCTCTTGGTCAACATCATGATGTGATAATTAAAAGGTCTGATCTTGGGAGACGAATGACAATCATGGTTGATGGATATGAACCAATTGTGTATACATTTAATATAGCTGATAAAGCTGATGCTCAATTCAATCGCCTGAAAAGTATTTATGTTGGTCGAAATGAAACCATGTCTACAGGAGAAGGATTTGTTGGTTGTATCAGTCGAGTCTCATTTGATGATCATTTTCCATTAAAACGACTATTTCAACAAGATCGTCGTAGTAATGTGTATGCCTTTCCTGATCTTGATTCCGTCCGTGAAGATTCATGTGGAATTGAATCGGTTACCCATCCTCCAGAGGAAATTGAAACTCGTCCACCACCTTTAGGTTCTCACAGTACTTCTGAAGGAGATTCACGACCTATTATTGCAGCTATCGGTATAATTGTGACTTTAATAGTTGTAATAGTTGTAGTGGCCTTATTGTTCAGCGGTCGATTTATGGCTCATTATAAAGGAGATTATGTAACGCACGAAGACAAAGGAGCCAGAGATGCACTAGACCCAGATATGGCTGTGGTTAAGAGCAAAACTGGACCTGATATAACAAAGAAAAAAGAGTATTTCATCTAGAAATAAATAACCTCGATCATTTTTCATCATTTTTATCACCATCATTTTTGCACTCACATTTTTGTTGTATCAATTAGAGATACTTTGTTGATACTTTTCTGACGCTCGTCTCGATTTTAAATAATTGTTTCATTTTTAACAATTTCACTCGTGCTTTTCACGTGACATATCTATTTTTTGCCAAACTATTATTCGTAGCAATCACGACCCGTCCATTTATTTCATGCATCGACATCTAAATGTGGAAACCAAACCAGTCCATTTAATATCAAAAACGCGCATATGAACACATGGAAATTAATCCTGACGCATTTTCACTCAACCACAATTCATAGTTTTTTATTCGAAACAAATTTGTTATTTAATGTCAAAATAAAGCTTGTCCAATTCCTATCGAATCATCTTCCAAATTTTTATTTCAACTTCTTGAATTCTATTACTTAGTTAAGCACTATTATCATTCACTAATTGCTAAGTCTTAAAGATTTCAACAATAGATTATCAGTATCAATTCAGATACAAGTATCAGCATTTAGTAGCATACATTTCTCGCATTGAGTAGTGTTGATTTAATACTTCACATTTCATCGAACTTGATTAGAGACTAAACTATCATTTATGCTAATAGAGGTTTGAATTTTTCTAAATGAAAGTCTAGAGCAAATATTTAAAAACCTAGCTGATCAAATAAATACTGTCGAGTACCCGGTTAAAGCAACTTGTGTTTCTCAGTCTCCATCTAGTGATAATGGGTCTCTAAAAAATTGCTTTAACCGGGTACTCGACAGTACGCATTTTATGTAAATATTATTAAAAGATTAGAATTTTTTTCTAACTCATTCTTGAATTTGATTGCATTTTTGGAAGTCATCAATTACAGGCAAATAAATAAGATGACGGCTTAATTATAACGATTCTTTAATCATAAACTTTACAAAAGTACACTTCAAGTATACTTAAAAACATTTATCATAGAATAGATAATGGATTTGATCACCAGATGATAGACCAAAGTTCCATATTAATTTAATCAATGTTCAAAAGTACTTTTTTAAAAAATAATAAAATTTAAAGGAAAGAGGAATAATTAAAACAAGTTTCAATCCTAACTTAGACTATTTACAAGGGAAGAATTAAAATTGAAAAATTTTACAATTGAAAATGATCTGAAACATTTGTAATTGTCTCTGTATAAAGTAACCCCGCCATCGAAGCGCTTATAAAAGTAACTATTGAGCCAGCAATCATTGCTCGTACAGCCATGGAAGCTAATTCCGATTTCCGATGAGGTATTAATGATCCTATTCCTCCCATTTGGATGCCAATCGCACAGATATTGGAGAAACCACATAAAGCAAAAGTAGCGATAACTTGTGAACGATCCTGTTGGAATTGAAATAAATATTTTTACAAATTCAATAGTTACTTGACATACAGTTGTTCCTCAATATAAATGATACTTACCGATAATTCATTAGCATTTTTCATTTCAGCAAGTTTTGTGTAAGCAACAAATTCGTTGAGAAAAGTTTTCAAGCCCAATAGAGAAGCTACTTTTTCAGTATCTTGCCATTCGACGCCCATAGCCCAGGCCAAAGGAATGAATAGTCTCGATAAAAGCCACTGTAAATAATTCAAAGCATATTCTTATAACCATGCTACATTTAAATTTTGAGTTGATCTTAAATCTAGAGATTTATGATCGAAATACTTAGAATAATATTTTACCGTGAAATCAATGTGGCCCAAGTTGATCAAAGATGCAAACCAAGATACAATCGAGTTTAAACATTTGATGAATGCTAAAAGAGCAATTAAATTAGCTGCTATATTAGCAACAAGTTTGATGGTTTGAGCAGCTCCATTGACTCCTGCTTCAAGAGCATTTCTATCAGTTCTGTCGAAAGGAAAAATCAATCAGTTAGTGAAATAATATAACAATAAGAATAGAACTTACGATTTTTCAATTTCGATATCTTCTGACTTCGTTTTACTTTTCGAGGTTTCAGGAAAAATTAGCTTTGCTATTCCAAGTGAAGCTGGAGCAGCCATTACAGATGCTGACAACAAATGACTAGCATTGATCTAGAATAAGAAAAATGATTATTTGGTTTATCCTTGATATAAATTGGTTATTTTTGTTAAAAAAATCAGAAAAATCAGTTTGCTAAATTATACCAACATTAGAATGACTAGGTTTTTTGAACTATCAATGTGTATTTGAATGTCAACGATTTAAGAGTATTTTTTCAAAAATTATGTTATCAATAAATTATAAAACCAAAATTACTTTTCCCATTGAATATTCACATTATATAATATAAATATGAGTGGAAAATAGTCAATGTTCAGAAACTGAAAGATTGCTGAACTATTGATGAATTGGCTCTACCAAACTCATAATTACAATTTGTGAATAATCTGGAAAAACATGAAATACGAGAAAATCTAATTTAATCGGAGTTCAATACATTGGTCTAATAAGCATGCATGTACATGAATTAACCATGAAGATACCTTCTCGTTTCAACTTGAACTTGACCTTCAATTAGATTATAATGAATAGTCTAATTGCAGTCCTTGAAATGGATGATCACATTAACAGTGATCATGAGGTAAATTGCCACATTTATATATAGTATAACATGCAAAAGTTTCTCAAGGAGTTTAAATGATATAATATCTGACATGTAAAAAATTGACATAGATAATTAAGAAACATTAAACATAAAAGTATCTAAGGACTTTGAACTGCAATTGAAAAAGAACAATTTTATCAGCTTATTATAATCAGTTCAACTGTTTCACACCTAAATAATGTTCAAGATTCATTTTTAAGAGACTCAGAAAGATTGGTTTCAAGTTTAGATACATTATATTTGTAGGATTAGATGCCACTCTTGAGTGGTAGATTAGTAATTAGCAGTATTGAATAATCAAATGTACTCTCCATTCACAACAATTTGCTAATATGAAATAATTTTCAACCAATTTTCATTCATTAGATGTAATTAAAAGCCTGTTTGCTAAACCTAAGTAATTTTTAGGTCTTAATGATTCTTTTAACATTGATTCAGTGGTTGAAAATTAAATGTCAATTAAAATGAAAGGGAAAATAACTAAAAACAAGGTTAACATTATTATTATTATATATCTGAGATTATAACGTTTAAGTTACTAAAGTCAACTGATCAGGTGATGCACTAAATAAATGTTTTTCACGATATATGTTATAAATGAATTTATAACGCTATTCAGTTAATATAAAAATCAAAAGAAAAATAACTACCAAATGTGAATAAAGATAAATGATTAAATTTAGGGATAAAATTTTGTTTTGGATGCTAGACGACTCATGACGACGAAACTTGTGATATAAAGAACATTTTTTACAGCTCATTCGAGTTATATCCTTGATTAGACATTCATAGTGACATTCACAATTGTCAAGTGAACTGATAACTAATTACAGTTACTCATCAATTATTTTACTGAAACCTCGAGATTTGACGATCCATCAAAAAAATGCAAATGCAAGCAAACAAAATTTAGATGACTAATCATAACAAATGGGAAAACTATATTAGACATGGCAATATTTTACCGGACTAGACTAGGGTTTAGCGGTGTTTTTGGACTTAGATCTGGTTGACCAATATAAAGCAACTCATATTTCACCCATCAATCCATCGAGACGATGAACTTACCCCGAAATTGATATACGCCGCCAAAACTGATCCAGCAATTGTAGAAAAACCTTCAGTCATCACAGCAAACAACTCGGATTGGGTCATTATAGATAAGTATGGTTTTATCATTAAAGGTGTTTCTGTCTGAAATGATAAAAAAATTGTTTAATTAATTTTACCAAAAATTTGTCTGATTGAACCAACCATTCCTAAAAAGATGTTTCCTGCCGCTGCCAGAGACTCACAGGCAGTTGATCCAACAGTGATTTGAAGTAACCAACCGAGTTTAATCACCATGATTTGCATGATTCCATAATAATAAAGAACCGAAACAGTGAAGCTAAAAAATATTATGATTGGTAAAACCTGAAAGAAAAATAAGACCGATTAATCAAATGATATTAAATACACATGAAATTATACTCACTTTGAATGCAAAAATACTTTCAGTGCCAGAAATACCATTTACGAGACTTCCGAAAACAAATTTAGAGCCTTCATCGGTAAAGTTGAGGAAGGCAACAATTTTATCACCAATACATTGAAAAATTGATTTACCAAGCTGAGTTTTTAAAACTAAATTAGCCATAAGGAACTGTAAAGTTATTCCCCAAATAACTTGACTCCATTGAATTGCTGGTCGGTTTACAGATAAAAGATATGAGATTCCGATGAAGATGAATATTCCACAAGCTGAGATGATCTTTTTATTGTCCGTCCGAGAAAGATAAATTGTGTATAAAACAAATAAAACCATGATAGTGATAAATGCAGCTATTCGAATGTATCCTTGTAAAATTGGTTGATTCTTGATTGAACGAGTAATTGGTCGCAAAAATCTTTTATAGATAGGTTTGACTATCAACTTTTTAAGTACTAGATAGTAAATTGCCGTAGCATAAACAATGCTGGTAATTAAAACCAAGAATTTGACGCCTTCGCAACAAGACGGGGACTAAACACAGAGATGAGAAATAAGATCAATCAATAATTCGGAATAGTTGAAAAAAGAAATTACAAACCTTTTTCCATGTTTTTTTAATTGCAATCACAAGGTAAAGATTGTAAAGTAGGAAAAGGATAAACTTGATGGATGCAACATTAGATTTCACAAGACTGATGATTTTTGAAGCAACTAAATTAACAGGATCATATGGGTAGTCATCATCAGGTGCCTGTTTATCGGGTAGTTTCGCTTTGCTCTGTACATGAATGTATGTTGGTCTAAGTGAAATCGCTCTTGGGTCCTGTTAATAAAATCAAGATTTAGAAATGAAAATTTGATACATTAATAAAATTGATCATTTACTTACCAAATCATCCAACTTTTCTTTATCTAACTCATATGCAAGGTTGACATGAGCTTCTTGGGCAAGATTTGAATGCTTATCACAAATGCTGACTGACTGATTAAATTTACATTGACCATCAATATCAGTAGGGGAAGAAAAAGTTCCATTTGGCGCGACTGGAACTTCATTCACGATTGATGGAGGAATAGATGCTATTGGAAGGGATCCTCGATGATCCAAGCCTGCTCTTGTTCGGTTACCAGAAGCACTTAAAGACAAAGATCGAGCGAATTTATTTGACTCAGATGAACCATTGAATATTGAAGGCCCATGAATATTACGGCTTGGAGCATATTGATGATATTGAGGATGAAGATAATCAACGTCATATAGCTCGTTTCCATTCAGGTCAGTTGGTCTGCTATTGTTCTCCATTGATTCCTGTAATGATGATGACAACCTAGGGTCATAAGAGTCACAGAGAAAAAATGAGGCAAAAAGAAATGGTCAACAATCTTTCACAAGATTGAGTCGGTAACAACTTGAAAAAATATTGAAAAAATTTATAACTTACTCTTCACTTCTCATGCTTGATCAACTTGTTAACTGGTTAACACTGGCTTCAATAGAAAAGAATTTACTAATTAAAAGAATAAGAAATAAACAATGAGAGTAAGAGACTCAGAAGATTATGTCCGATCAAACATTAAAATCGGAACAGTTAAATACCAAAGGGTGAAGATAAAGGCAACCTTAATACGTTCAAATCAACCATTAACTGTAACAATTAGCTTTTTTACCTAATCAAATAGCTCACTATCACTACCTCACTCTATTCATATAACCTCAAGAGTATTAAGCTCGTTTTTTTTGCTCTTTTATTATAATATTAACACTGAGGGCGCTTAAGTGTTCTACTTCTACTTCATTTGATTTTATTAAGCAATAATCATTATCAATGAAATCAACACTTTCAATACTTATTATTACCCTGACAATTGAGAATTATAATGATGTTGAATGTTTGTCCATGTAAACGGCAAATTAACAGATCAATGAAACAAAAGGAGATTCATACAAGATTAACCTGCATTAAATTAAACAATGTGGAGGTTTTTGAATCAATTGTTGTGCGTTTATATCTAAAAAATACTTTTTGATTTCTTGTAATGTCGTGAATTAGTTCGTTTTTGGTTTTGACTTTGAATTTTTAAAAGCAAAGCAATATTAAATTGGATTTATTACATCAATTTTTTATGCTTGGTAAATTGTTTTGATGAGAAGACAATCAAAAACCGATAAGATAAGCATAGAAAATAAGTTTTTGAAAATATAAATGACAATCACGTTTGATTACAAAAATTAGCGACAGTCATTTGTATAAAAGTTAAATGAAAAAAACTTTTTGATTGTAATTCCCGGGAAATTATTTTGAATAAAGCCATTAATGGCGGGTTTTCAACTTGAAATTATCGCCATCTATTGAGCGTAATACTCTATAATAGATTTTAGAGTAAAATATTTCAACTGACTTTATAAATGTTAACTTAATAATTAAAGTGACTTGAGTATTTAATTAATTAGGTTCTGTAAGGCTGAAGAAATATTTAACAGTAACGCAATATTTATGTTAAATTTACAAATTACTTAAATTTCTACCATTTGAAACAATCGGATTATCGATCAATACTTAACTTTAATTTCTAACACTTTGATGATTGCGTTTTTTCGTTGTACTGAAATTTTTTTGTTAAATTGTTCAACTCTGGTTGCTAGTTGCTATTAATTGCACCTTGATGTAAGTTTAATTGCTTTTAATTAGTTAATAATTGAGACTTTTATTGAAAGTCGAATTGGTATCTATATAGTATCTGGATCTTGCTCAGGTATGATATGGACTCAATTCGGATACTCATACTTCGGTTTGTTTTTTCATCCTCATCGATGATAACAATGAATTCATCAGTAAATTTTTTAAAATAAATATGGCCAATATTTTGATTCAAAGTTTACAATCAACTTTTTTCTTTTATCTAATGTGTTTATTCAGGATTTAATTGGTTACCTTATTATGATACATCCACATTCAAGTCACACTAATAATCATCTTAATCACCATCATCATCTCCCATTTCATCGAAATAACAAGCATCATCATTGTCAAGAAGATCTCTTCCAATCTTATTCAACATTCTCTTCATGTGATGAAGATGAATCATCTATAAATGATGTTAAACCCTTACCCTCCTTGACTATGTCACAACGCGTGATGATCACTCAAGATGTGAAAATGAGCGATATCCGGAGCCAATTGATCTCACATAAATTACTATTGACCAACCTGATCAAGGTGAAAGAATCTGAAGTGAGAAATTTAGTTAAGAAAACCAAGCAACGAATAAAAAAAGATGATTTACTGGATGAACCTGATTCAACTTACCTGGACAAGCTTTTGGATTGTAGTAGAAATTCAAGGATTAGCTCAAAGTTTCCGCATAATTTGATGAGTATTAGGAAAGGTATCTGCTGTTTTGAGGATGATGTATTCAAATGTGACAAACCATCTCTTCCATTTAGTAGGCATTGTCAACGGCATATTTTGTATAATGTTGATCAATTACTTTTTGTGAGGTGTACAGCCAAAGATAATGAAACATTAGCTCAATGCTGTAATCCATCATTGGATGTCTTAGCAGATGAGCCTCTTTGCAACCACCATCGATGGATAAAAAGCTCAACACCTTCAATGCAGGAAGATGATGCTTTAAAAGCCAATGTTATAGGAAGTGGTAAAGGAAAAGGTAAAATTCAGGCTGGACCTGGTAGACCTGGAAAACGAAGTAAAAAACGTCGTAAACTAATTGGTGGTAAAGGTATTCCAGGTGGGTCAATTGACAGTATTGACAGTTCTAGTTTTCTTTCTCAAGACTCATCTGATAGCATATTTGTTAATTCTGAAAATTGTGATACTTCTCAAGTACATTTATACGCTATCAAGATTGAACCAAATATTGATACTGCAACCTCTCTACCCATTGAAAGTAGCCAACCAAACCAACAAACCTGTATAGTTCCAACCATTCCTCAAACAATGCCACTTCAAATGCAACAACAAACCCATCATCAGCATCATCGACCACAACAGCATCAACCAATGCATCTTAATCATGTAGTTCCATCTTCTCACTTACCAAATGAAAGAAGTACACTCGATAATTTATCAGTAATTCCTGGTACAACTCTTTTATTGAGAGGTGAACAAACCAGCATAACTCAACCATTAGCTTCGACAGTCCCTGTTGTTTTACCAGACGCTACTAGAAATGGTATTATTACTGGTCATCTAGACGGTGTAACTACATTAGCTCCTAGTGATGAAGCATTAGTTGCTTCCCTAGTTGCAGAATTGCCGACTCTTTGTGCAGAAAATGGACCTGAACCTGAGCCTCCAGGATTTGTTGATGCTGATTTAACAGATGTTCTTAATAAGATACCAGATGATGCATTCAATGATTTGTTTGTGGACAATTTGAAAAATGGTGATATTCCTAGTAAAGAAGAGTCAGAAGCTTTAGAGCAAGCATTAGCTGCTGTCAGTAAAAATGTACAATATCTTTCAGTAGCTGCGGCTGCTGTTGGTGGATCGAGATCAGCTGTAAATAATGCTTCAAGAGAAGGGATTACTTCTGTTACCTCTACAACTGTGATTAACGGTGATTCCAATTATTATTCTCATGCAGCCCAACATCATAATCATCATGGTACGGTTAATGGTGAAATACCTCAGCTTTCTCATCATCAGACGCTCCCTGTAAATACATTGACAACTCCATCGTCTCAATTAACACACCAACCACCAACACAACCGCCGCCACCAACATTATCTTCCTCATCCTCTACATCTTCTGCACCGCCATCATCCATATCATCTTCTCATGATCTAGCCAATCGATCTATTGCTTCAACTTCGTTAAACCTTAATGAAAATGATATTCTCGGTTTAGCCAATAACATTTTAACCTCATTGACAACCGAACAACAACAACATTTAAATGGATTGATTGATGGAGCATTGGCCTCGGGTACTTTAACACCGCCAACAATTAAGTCAGCTTTGGCGTCATTATCTAGCTTACAGCAAGAAAGTGAATCTTGCGAGACGCATTTATGACCCTTTACAACAATAACCAATCATTTAATAACCAGCTTGAAAAATTTCGCTCTTTCGCCAATTTCTCGACTGCAATCTGAAAAATAAAAGTTTTACTCAATGTTCAACCTAAACTGGATCTACTGATAACCTACTTGGTCGTGATTATTTTTTACCTGAAGCTGATTTTTCATCAAAATCATAGCTTTGTCCTGGTCTTCGATTGTTGAGAAATAGTGACAACGATTTCTTGAATTACGGTGATTAGAATTCAAGAATAAATCTAAATAATTGTCCATCAATATTTATTATTATTTTCCTCTAACCTCCACTTATCTACTTGTTTTAAATTGCGGATAAACAAAACTCAACTCCAAGTTTACTTACTTTCAAAAGTAATTATCGAAAGTGTTCTGATGAATCTCGTATATCCGGTGTTGATAATTTTTCTCGATTGACTTCATCAACTAAATTGCTTTTGGATACACAAAAAATGGACGATTGATAAGTAAATACAAGCCGAATCAATTGTTCTCCTATTGTGATTTCATTTTATAAATTTCATCTGACGGGATGATAGTTCATCATCAAATGTACATTGGCTTCGAAATTAAAGACTGGACTGAAATGATAGAATAGATTGATATACGAAATGATAAAATTTGCTTGGACAAATCAACCAATTAATAAATAGTTCTTCGCAATCAATCTAGTTTAAGAGATTTAATTTTCTTCGTTGTTTTTCACAGGTTAATTTTCGCTTTAATTGTTGATAATCTATTACAAAACATTTTGAACCTTTTTTTCTCTTTGTAATACCGATTCACTTTCATTTTTTTCTCGATCAAATAACCATTTATTTTACCGATTGTATGGAAGAAAATTGTAATTATTGTGGTTAATATAATCATTATCATCTCCATCATCTAAATTATCATCTTAGATGTCTTTATAAAAGACATAATTGTATCGTAAATATCTTTTTTTTCTTTGCTTAATCATGCAAAGATTTAATAAAATCCAAAGAATTATTTCAAAAACAATTTTTATTATTAAATGGTGAAATTAAAGATAGTTTTTTTAGGGGGAATAATTAAATAGGGTTGCTAATTTTGGATCATCTTCACTTATTTTAATAAATTAGAGATTCCATAGCTCGTTTTGGAATGATTAATTTGATTAACGCGTATCATTTATTGTACGTTTTGTCCATCAACACTACTGGAAGGCTCTTCTGATCCACTTTTATTCTTTATTTGTAGACGCCTAAGAGTTGATATCATTTTTCTAGGATTAACTCGCGTTGGTTTGCGAAGTGGTCGATGTACATCATTACTGGGGATCATGACGTCATTTTTAGAAGGATGTGTCGCCTCCTCGTCAATTATTGCTAAACCACTTTCAATAAGCTGTTTGTGCAGAAAAACGTAGCCAAGTGAAGTTTTGGCACATACTTCAGCTTCGAATCTGACAGATTCTTTTGCTTGAGATGATCTACGTTTATGTAGACGGCATAAAATATTCTCTTTTTGATTTAAAGCCCGATTCATGAAATCTAGAACTTCATCTTTGGCATTTGAAGGCCACTTGTCAGTCTTTGGTCGGATTCCTCTAAGTGAAAGGCGAATTGCTTGAGAAGGAAGATAGCTAAATTCCTTTTTCATCAGCCTTAGCTTACATGATTCAATGTATTGCTCACCACCAAAGTCAATAAACGCTACCTTGACCTTTTTCTTGTCTGGTTCTACTTTAACAATTTTTACTCGATGCCAACAATTATCGACATCAAAAGCGGCAGTACAGAAGAAATTTTCTCGCAGGTAGAAAATTGGAACATCATAATCTCTACAGGAAGGCGATAAATCGGCATAAAATTTCAATTTGTGCATGAGAGTATCCAGCGCATCAGAATGATATTTGCCAACCAAGTTTACAAATATGCAGTTTGGGTTAACAACAGAAGTTAAAATTATCTGATGCCAAACGTCTTCATCGACGGTGGCTTGGTCAACGTCCACTTCTGAAATGATATCTCCAGGCAGGACTACATTATCAGGCACAATCATCTGCTTTAAAGCATCATATTGATTATTATTTACACAAATATCAACCCATTGGGTTTGCCAGTCATCTTGTAAACTAACAGTGATATCATCACCTGAATAACTTCCTTCCAATTTTATTGGAAGTTCTTTGGACAAATGTTCGAACATGTCAGAGTAATCTTTATAATCATACACACAAGGATCAAGGCTTTCTTTGAAGTTTAAGTAAAAATCAGTAGAAAAGTTGGAAATCGAAATTCCTTCAGTTGCTTTCATTAATAAAGCCATAATTTTCAGCTTGAAAGACCATCTTTGTTGCTTCTCACTTAGTGGACCTTGATTGGTTTTTGCATGGTATGCGTCAACTCTTTGACGAACCTCTGGGGGCACTTGATTAGAGTTGTAGATGATGGCGTCACAATCATTCTCTTGTCCACTCCTTGCATCTGCTGGATCAACAAAAAATAATGAAGGTAGACCATAAAATATGTCAATCAAGGAGAAATAGCCCCAATTTGTGGGTTCCAAAGGTGCTCCAGAAATATTTTCATATTCCGATAGGAAATTTTCGGCAGTGATACCGTGAGGATATTTTTCTAGAATTTTTTTAAAATAAGAAATCGCAGTTGAAGGGAAATTTTCAAGAGCTTCACTGTCAATTCCGTTTTGGACCTCTACGCGAATATCACTGGGATTATCACTTAGACTAACAACTTTTCTAGGAGGAGCACTCGCTACATCATCTGGACCTGAAAGATAATTTAAAAAAATTAAACCTGGTTTACCTGATCTCAAACGCAAGAGATTCAGAACGCATAAAAACGCAGAAGGAAGCAAGAAAATAGGGTGGAACATGTAAAGATAGACAGAGGAATAAGCAATTTGTTACTTTAATTTAGAACTATCCTGGCAAATAAAAATATTTAATCACAATTCAGAATTGATAATTTTATTTAATTAGCACATAGATATCAGCAAAACTCAAAGATAACAAATAACTGAAAATTTCCAACACACACACTAAACGCTATAAAATATGCTCAGAATATTTAATATAGGACTTTTAAGTAAATTACAAGTATAATCAATAAAACTATTACTAGTCACTGAGAGAACAAAAAAGGATTGAGTAACAAAGTTGAATCTCTAACAATAGTTAATGTACCCTTCCATTGAATTACAGCGAATTCATGACAACTAATTAGAAACATAAAATATGACGAGAGAGATACGATGTAAAAGCTTGAAAAATGGATGTATCTTACCTTTAGCATCATTTTTGGGTGGGTTTTTTGACGGCTTTGGCGTTTCAGGTTTTTTTATTGGGTTATCGACCAGCTTAACAATATAAAATTTCCGCGAGGGATGAAGCTCAACTTTACAAATGTGGCTAATGGTGCTAAGAGCGTGTTGAAGATCAGAGAACCCTCTAGCATGAGGATCTAAAGTTTGCTGATACTTTTTTTCATAAAGAGTTTTCAGGAAATTCAAATTGATGCCCTCTTTGCCATGATCTTTTAATAATTCTTTGATATTTGCCACGTCTTGAGCAGAGAGAAAAGGTGCTGTGGCCCGAACATTATTAGGTGGCCCAGGAGGCGGTCTATTGCTGGACAAGCCTTGGGTGTTATTAACTTGTGAAGCTTTGAGAGGTTGCTTTGATACTTGAACATGGCGAGTAGGTCTTGGTCGCTGAACTGATGGTCTCTGAACTGATGGTCTTGAACCCCACTCATCTAAATCATTTTGTTCTAACCCAGCGGGAAGAACAGGCCGTGAATTTACGGATTGACTACTTGGACGATTGATAGGAGGTCTCCTAGTGACAGGTGGATTCCAGTAATTTGTTGAAGGCCTTATATTATATCGGTGTCCACTATAATAATTGTTATAGCCTCCGTGACCGCCGTAGCCTCCAAATGGCTTCTTTTTCTTTCTTTTCGTAGTTGCTTTTTGTTGCATGACCATTTCTTGGATGTGGACTGTATCATCATCAAATCTTGCACGATATACAGGTTCACCATAGAGGTTTGGTTGCTTGATCAACACATCACTCATGGAGTCCAAAAAATCTCTAGGATTTTTATAACCAAATATTGTACAAGGAAGAAAAGTCCCTTCAAGCTCCTTGAAATCCTTTTGGATTTGATCTAAACTGATTCCATGTTTATAAGGGATTATAATGGATTTAATAACGGTTTTGAATTTGTCCAGCTTGTCTTTTAATGCTGGATCCATATTAATTCCAATAACGTTAACTAGATTGAACAAAAATAACGAAACTGAGTAATCGAAAAACACAATCCAAATAAATTTGTCGCTGGTAACTGTGGTAAACCACTTGGTTCTTAAAACTGAGAAAAGACACCAAGCCGGAGCAAGTGATGAAATTAAATGACGACGAATCTGGCTGTAAAAGAGAAGAAGGTTCAAATTTTAATGCATGTATCTACTGACATCTAACGGTTATTCTGATTAGTTTTATCTTTAAATTTGTAGCTTAATTAAATGTTTGCCTTGAAACTCGAATAAAGTGTTTAAAGTACTATAATTAAGTTAGCGTCTAGATAACTTAACAATATTTAATAAATTACAAAAATTGAAAATAAATATTTGCAGAAAAAGATTTCTAAGAATTCTATCAACCAAATAGAATAATCTGAGCTTGGGTTAACAAGAAGACGCCATCATTTTTAAATAGCTTATCATATATTTTTAAATTGAATGTTAAGATGTCTCTGTAAGTAATTGATGAATTTGATAATGGGGTGAGAAAAGATAATAATCTCCAAAATTAATGGAAAATCTGGCTAAATATATTAGTTCAATTTAACTATTGAAGATACAAGATAAGATACAAGAGTATAACAGTATTGTTACTTGTTGATTATTTAAATAGACAGATATTGATGCATAAATAATTTTTTTGATAAATTGTTTTAACCTTCGGATTTTTTTTATTAAGTTTCCCTTTAAATGATCAGTACTTTACTCTCAATCATCATGAATAACCTGAAAAAATTAAAAATTATTGAAATTCTCATTCATTTCCCATGAATGAAAGTATTGAACATTTGCTCTTTTTTGGTGCTGCCATCTTTATCGAAATAAAAGAAAATGAAAGAAAATTCAAGCGAAATGATTAATTTGTTTACTCTTTCAACGATTATTCACAATTATAATTCTTACATCATTCGTCCAAAAATGTTTAGACTTAATTGTTGGACTTAATCTTGTTACTATGAAATTGAATCCACAAGAGAGACATTTAGATCTAATGCGGTAAAATCACACAAAATAAGAGGTTATTTTAAAAAAGGCGCGTATATAAAGAGCGCGATTTTTTCAGATTACATGTTTCATTGATTACATAGTAACGCCAGGTTTAGACTCCTTTATCCTCTGAAACCTCGTACTAAACAGTTGATCAGTTTAACTGTGTATTGCTTGTGTTTGATTAATTTATCTGGCTCGTAATATTTTCAGTGTTCTCAAGTCATGCAGGGGAGACGCAAAAAATCCAAACCTGATTGTTCAGAAGGAGATGGTAAGTTATCTTGAATTTTCTTTCACCAATATTCTCGGTGTTTTGTTGCTCTTTTCTTTTTTGAACTCTATTCTTATTCTTATCTCAATATTCCCACCAATTCTTTCCTGTCTTCATATCATTTTCATAGTTTACATTTACCAAGATATAATTTACATTTTAATCAATGAAATTTTTTCCTCTCTTTCTACAGATAATGATCCTTGCTTATTATGTGGCTCACCTGTTGTCGATGAATTCAGATTTGGTAAGAAATATAAGCATGAGGAAATTGTTGCCCATTACTATTGTTTGTTATTTTCCTGTGGATTGGAGCAGAATGGTAAAGATGAAGAAGGAATTCTTGGATTTTTGAAGAAAGATATTCTCAAAGAAGCTAGTCGTGGTAAGCGACTTAAGTGTAGCTTTTGTCGCAAAAATGGAGCTACATCTGCATGTTGCTTGAAACAATGTCGTGTTATGTTTCACTTAGGCTGTGGTATAGAAGCTAAATGTCTCAATCAATTCTATCAAGATTTTTCGTAAGTAATACTCATAAGAGTTATATTCTGATTAGCTTATTCGATTCAGATGAATTATATCTTCAACTTCCTTTTTTACTCTAGATCTTTCTGTGTTAAGCATAGACCAAAGCAAAATATTTCCAAAAAATATTTGGCTGATCATTTAAATGATGATTGTCCAATTTGTTACTTACCTATTGAAGTAGACAAAGATCCAGGGGCACTCGGATATCTTAAAACTCCGTGTTGTCAATCACTTTTGCACCGACCTTGTGTACAGAAACAAGCTCTAAATGCTGGATACTTTTTCAAGTGTCCTCTTTGTAACAACAAGAAGGCTTTCAAGAAGGAGGTTCAGCGTTTTGGCATTTACATTCCTGAACAGTAAGTTTGTCTTGTTGGAACTTTAATTTGAACTGCTGCTATCATTAAACTTTTTCAAAAAATTCTCATTAGGGATGCGTCTTGGGAGCTTGAAGAGAATGCTTTTGGTGATTTATATTATCGTTATAACAAGTGTGACGCTGAAATTTGTGATTGCCCTGATGGCCGAGAATATGACAAAGGCGGAAGCCAATGGGATATTGCTATTTGCCGAATTTGTGCCTCGCATGGGTCTCATGCTAAGTGTGGTAATCTATCAGAGGACGACCTCGAATCTTGGGTATGCTCGACTTGTTCAAATATTGAATTCAAAAATAATAGTGAGTTTTATCTTCCAACTTTTAAATATTTACTCAGTCGATACTCATGAATTAATTTCCTTCTTTTTACAGATGAAAACCCTAAGAAAAGGAAATTATCCGAGACTACTAACATAGATGATCCAGCTTGTTCATCTCGTCAAAACAGAATCATGAGCTTGAAACGCGTAGCTCATGGGCGACTCTCGAGCTCTAATACATCTCCTAACAAAGCCATTGTGTGATTACAAATATTTAAAGTACCTCAGTTACTATTAACATTATTATTATGTCTATTATTATGATTATTATTGTCTATTATTATACTATTATTTTATTGCAATCTTTTCATATTGGCTGGACGCTATTCATCTGAAAGAAGACTTCAAATTTCCATGTGATTTAACTTTACCACTCCATAAAATCGAAACAACTAGCTCGACAATTTGAATTTTCAGATCGGACTAAACTATTTGAAAAAATGTTTTCGATTAACTGTAGTGACTTATTTGAATTCAATAGTTATTGAGATTATAGACATTTACACAGTCAATCATAGATTCTGATGTTAATGCTAATGCATCTTTTAAAGGATAATAGCCTTTCAATCTCAGCTGAACGTTTTCTTTGCTGAATAGCAATCATGCTAGTATGAAAAACTGCTTTATATTTTCAAAAAATTATTTGTCAATTGATGCATCATTTAAAACAATCTGTCATGAACAATTCATTGACTAGCTTATGGACTGTTGCTAAATTTCCTCAAAATGTTTTCTTTCTAAATTCTCAACATTATGTTTTTCATATATTCCGCTTGCACTGATTCCTCTAATTGTATTGACATGATTACCGATTGACTAGTTATTTTTCATCTAATTGTTTGGTCACATTAATAATGAAATGACCGTTACCATGTTGTAATAAAAAATTGATCAAAAAGTTTGAATTGAAACTTTATCATATTTAAAATGAAATGGAATAGATATTTGCTTTATTTTTATTAAACGTCCAAATTTAAATGACTATTTTGTCCAGAAAATATTGTTTATGAAATGATTTTGGCACTATAAAATACAATGTTTAAGATTGTTGTTTTAATGATATCGACAAATGAAATTATCTTTTTCAATATCTTTTATGTTCTTTTTCCACAAATGTGTACAGTCTTTATGGAACCAATTTTTGCAAACTGTGCATGAAATCCATAGATAAAATTTTTTCTTTGTATTATATTTTCCGCAGATAAAACAAACGACATGAGCCTCACTGCCATCGTCAGTCTCTTCATCGTCACTTTCAGAGTCAATTTCTATGACTTTTTTCCCGTTTTTATTGTTTTCTTTGTAATCTGAGAAGATCTTGGCTTGAATACTGGTTTGATTTTCCTTCTTTTTTGTTAAAACAACAGATTCTTGACTGCTGCTGCTGCTGCTGCTACTACTGCTACTGCTACTGCAACTGCTACTGCTGCTGCTACTGCTGCTGCTGCTGCTTCCACTACTGCAGTTGTTTTTGTTGTTACTGCTGTAGTCACCGTAAACACTCGGCTCGTTACTGGTTTCACTGAAAATATCGTCACTGTCCGAGCCTCCAATAGTTATTACATCGGAAATATTGTAGCTTTCATCAATAACAAATGAAGACTCATCGTCGTCGTCATCAGAAGTACCGTAATCGTCCAAGTCACTACTACTAACAGTAAGGGAGAGACATTCGATATCTCGTTTCTTTTTCTTAATTGAAGCAGTGAAATGATCATCAGTAGACAAAGGTTGACTTTTCCCGCCATCATTATCATACTCAGTATTATCAAATGCTCGCTTTGTAGTATACTTTAAAATATCACCACGATTGGGTTCAGACTTTTTGCGAAGTTTTTCTTTTTTGATCCTTTTTATCTCCTCCTTGGCTTCCTCCTTTTCCTTGATTTCTTCAAGCATCCTTCGAGCTGAATTAAGATAGGGTGTAATAAAAGCTTTATCCTGAGCATTTTGACAAACCACAGTCTGTGAAGACACTGATTGAGATAAATTTTCAGACATTTTAAGAGATAGAGAATAAACGTATTTTGATTAAAACACAGTATGATGTACGTAATTAACACGATTTATAAAATGGTTCAATTAATAAGAAATTTTAAACGATAAAACAAGAAAATAAGATGGATAAACAATCGAACTTTTTTTTACTTGTCAACTTTTTTCTACAGATTAAGTATCATAAATACTCGGTAGATGGTAACACTAGACACTAGACTTACCTCTGTAAAAATTTCTTGTTTTCATTTAAAGTTTTTTTTTGATTAACAATTAAAAAACAGATAAATGCAATTTATTAATTGATGCAAAAATTTAGCTCCAATGAAACGTCCTCACTAGGCTTTAAAAGCTTCTTGGATCAGCTAAGAATCAAGCAATTCAGGTTCAATTCAAAATTAGCGATCTTTGAAAATAAGCTTAATTATCGAGTGAATCAAAGCAATAGTTTGATTAATTTCGAAAAAAATGGATTCTCCAGTGAATTAGAAAATAAGACTTGATTGAAATCGTACCATTAGCTAAAATGATTGACTGTCTAATTGTCAAACGTTCATTGATCTGTCAATTCTGGCGCAAGTAGATCTGTTTCATTTTAATTGAAACTTGACAAGTGTAATTATTTAGTCTCTGTAGGCGTTAATTGGAGCATTTTGCTTTGGAAAGTAGCAAATCTCACTTTAAGTTTAGTGATAATTTCATTTGATTAGTGAAAATAGCTGAGTATGATTTTAATTGTGTTCATTTTTACATTTCTAATCGGTGGAAGTTTTTCCCAATCAGGTTAGTATATTTTTCTGTAATCATCTGAACGATTTTGATTCATCTTCATGCTCTCACAAAATTAAGATAATGGTTCAGTTTACAAAGATTTAAGGACAAAAATATTGACCGGCTATGATACAAATATAAGACCTGTCAAAGATTATGATCAACCAGTTAACGTTTCAGTTTTAATTAGTCTGGAGCGACTAATCAATGTGGTGAGTTGATCGTTTAATGCTTGTTAAAACCATCATTTCTAATTAAAGGTATTTACAGGACACAAAGACATCAACCATTACGTTTGAAGCTTATATGGTTTTGGTGAGTAAAAGCTTATGCTTATTATAAATTTTGCCATTAAGTTTAAATAATTGTTTGTATTAAGCCTGAGGAATTGATAAAACTGAATGACTGAAAAGTGAGTATTGCAAATCTGTTGAAATAGCTATTCCTTGACTGTACTTAGTTTCCTGATTTGAAGAAATGATAACCATTTAAATCACACTTGAAGTTTAATCGTTTCTCTTGATTGAGAAGTGAAGCTAGATTGTTACACTACAAGTGGATATATGAAAGATAATTGGGATCTGTCAACTGGCTTTGGTTGGGTCTAAATTAAATAAATTTATATGAATCATGTGAAGGATCAAGAAATAGTATTCACTCTCAGCTAAACAGTGAATATTGTTAACCTAGCTATCTCATGAATAAGTTAATTTACTATTTTCAATCAATAATACACAATAAAGTGTATATTACCAGTATAAATGTATATCATTGACAATCAATGAAATTCAGTCTAGTCGAAAGAGCCTTTCAAACAATTTTGTTTTTCAACTTTGGTTATTGTCAGTAATGGAATCCTTCAATTGTAATATTCCTTAAATCTGATTTCAGTGGATTCTTTCTGACAGGTAAATGGAAACGATTGAATTGTCCAAAATAGTAGATATCATGTTGATAAATTTATGACCAAACAGAGATCCGATCCCAGCTAATTGATATATCAGGTCAGGGCCAAGTCTTGGTTAAACAGAAACCGAAAATTGCCTGACGAAAACGCCTCTTTGACTTGTATTCCAGTTTTGTTTCATAGACTTGATTAAAATATCCTGGTCCGAAAAAGCTCTAAAAAAGAGAAACAGAGATGAAAAATCAATTTGAATGATGAATAAAGAAAATTTAGACAACAGCGAATGTCAATAATAAAAAGTCTAAATCGATTTTTGATCAAATTTGACCAAATTGCGTGACTAAGAGTAAAGGAAGACTTGAAGACTGCTTTGAACATTGAGATGAGTGAGAATGAACCAAAGAAAATAATATCCATTACGAGTTATCAGATAATTTTAGGTAAATTATCCAAAGTCTCGAGTAGATATCTATTGACATAAACATCAATTTGGAAATTATTGATCATATAAATATGTAAACTAGGAAATAATTACTTTAGATTGTTTACAAATTAATATTGATATTCAATTGATTCTGACCACCAAATTTATTAATAGAATTGGACAGATGAATTTCTGGTTTGGAATCCAAATGATTACCAAGGAATTGATCACATTAACTTACCACCTAGCATGATTTGGAAACCAGATGTAATCGTATCAGTATCATGGACTCGTTATTACGAACAGGATGATCTTGACCTTCAGGTTAAATCCAATGGCCAGGTCTTGTGGATAAGAGTTTTGATTGTATCTTTCAGGTGTGCGATGGATTTAAGTGACTATCCTTTTGATAAACAACAGTGTTTCTTCCTTGTCTTGACCAAGTTTGATACGACAAACACTGTTCAACTTTATCCCTATTCAGGTAAATATAACTAAATCTCATCAGTTGATTAAGCATTGAATAATTCCTATTTAGTGTTGTCCATAGTCCTTGTTGACCTGCATCAAAAAGAGACATTCAATATTAATATTGTTCATTTGGTTGTTATTGCTGTTGTTGAAATTGAAGATGAAGATGAAGGATGAAAATAAATAAAACAAAATCATCTATAAATTCATTTGATTGAGCAAACAATAGTCGAAATAACTGAAGGAGCATTTGATTAATTAATAGATAATTATGTTTTGATTTTATAAATAAATGAGATTGACTTACCATCTTTGTTTCACCATTATTATAGATGACAAGTTACCAGTAATGAATATGGCACAATCATATAATCCAGAGTGGACAGTAAACTTTGACCGTAATATACTGAGCAACACTACAAATCGTAACGACACCAAGCAATACATTTTTGTCTCTATGACAATGAAGCGTAAATCATCGGCATATCATTACATTCTGGTTATGCCATACTTTGCCTGTAACATGTTGATTTTATACGCCTTTATGCTGCCTCAATCATCACGCCGTCGACTCTTTCTTGGCTCATTAGCTTTGTTTATGGATTTAATGCTTTTAATGCTTGTCGGCTATGAGCTGGGTTTCGATAGTAACCACAACACGCCATATGCAGGTGATTTATCATAAGTTCAATTTTAAATTTTGTTTTATCGATTATTCTTATAATTTTCTTTATTCTTTAATTTATAGTCAAGTGCTTGAGTATAAATATAATTATGGTGAGCCTCTTTATTATCATCAGTATCTTTGGATCTCGTTACATTGCTAAGTCAACTTCGCAGGCTCCCCTTTGGGTCCAAGGATTAGTTAAAAATGGCTTTGTTGGAAAGTTCCTTCTGATCCAAGTATCTTCCAAAGAGTTGGCTGATATTGATTCTGAAATGGCCAAATTAAATATTCAATCTCAATCATCAACTGGAACAACCGAGATGGATCAACGATCAAGTGATTGGATTCTGTTGACAGCCATCTTGGACCGATTATTTCTTATTATTTATACAATTTCATTCATTATCTACCATTCCTGATTCTATCTGATTTTTCATCTTTTTAAAACTAATATTGTTTTTGCATTTTGTTAACCTTTACTATTTACTGCAATTCTGGTGCAAAAAGGCTTTAGCCTTCTTATATGCTTGGACAATGGGCTTCAGTTGGGTAATTCAACAGGCTAAGATATATCGGCTTCAGTCAACTTTATCATATTCAACTTGACATATTTTCATATTTTGTTGTCTATTACTAGCAATATTTTAAATTAATTGATTATTGGTTAAAAATTTTCTATTGTAAATATTCCTTGGATGCAATGACTCTATGGCCTTAGTGATCTTAATTATGTAACATTTTTTGTCAACATACAACTCAATCAATCTTTATTGTGTACTTGAGAAGATCTAAAAATAATGCAGTTTACCTGGAAACATCGATTAGGGTTCCAGAACTTTGTTTTTTTAAATCATTGGGTGGGACTTGGTTCTTCGACCATAATAAAGAGTCAAGAAAGCTTAACATGGTTAATCTTTATTGTAACTAATCACAATTATCATCATGTCTTTAATTTTTACCTGGGAAAGCATCAGCAACTTATTCTCACTTCAATTTTTCTCATCAAAAAATCCATGACAAGTTGCAGATTAAAATCAATATTTCATTCTTATTTTTCACCCAGGATCAGAATCAATTGATAAGTATTTAAGTAGATATCAAGTATAACCTGTAAAGTTTACTATTGGATGTAACATTAGTGTAATAATAACATTAATAATAAAATGATAATCAATAATATGGATCGATTTGTAACTAAACAAAGGCAAACAATCAACAGGAAGAAAAGGCAAACAACTGAATGATGATATAATCAGGTAATCATTTTGAATACAATCAACTTTTACGAGTGTCATTTAAATTGATTGGAATCCATTGAAAGATGCAAATTGTCGTTAAAGGAGCTTTTGTATTGCAATTGTGATTAACTTTGATTTTCATCTCTTTAAAATGTGATTGATGGAAAGAGTAAATGATCAGAATTGGATCAAGTTAATGGAGTTAATTACGCCAAGTTACAGTCTTGAGCATGAATGTGATCAACATTTTTCAAGGAAACATTGAAACGTTCGCTTGATTGGCCTTGACATTTCCATCAGCTGAACCAGATGAATTCGGGATTCGGCCTGCGCATGAAATTCAATTTGATCGATGGACAGGCAGTTAAAGTAATTGATTTGAATGACTGCATAAGAGACAGAAAAGGAAGAGTTGAGTTGAGTTTAAGGCAAAAAAGCGGAAGATGCTCAGACAGAGTTAACATTATTGACAATAAAAAAGGTCACTTTCAAATTGAGAGGCAAAAAGATGATTTATTGAATGTAAATTTGCAATTAAACTTGATTTTAATACAATTAATATCTCATAATCACTGACATTGATCCATTATTTTGTCTCTCCAACTCCATAATTTGGACGATTTGAGTGTGAAATATTGTTACCATTATCAGATTATTTAATTGTTTTCTTGTACATTAAGATTCATTGAATAAAATTGAACAAATTGTTGATCCTTGATGGTTAAAGAGATAAAATTAATACACAATAAAAATTATTGATCCACTAATAAAAAATTATGTCGTTTGTTTTTCCCCATTTTTGTTTGTATTCCAGTTACGACGGTTAAAAGGTGAAACTAAATCCAACTAACAGTCACTTAAAGTGACTTAATATTGTGAAGATGAAGCGACTGCAAAGGATTAATTATTAACAAATTGATATTCAATTTGAAATATTGCAATAATAATAACAATTTACAATGCAAACGGGAGTAAAATATTAATACAATAAATGGGTGATTGATTGAAGGTAAACGTCATTTCTTGTAGCAAAGTTTGAGTGAAGTGAACAAAATTATCCCGGCAACAATCATGACGCCGAGAACAGATAGAATCATAATAATCAAATCGCCTTCACCTTCAACGAATACTGCCATTGCGATACGTGAATTGGTTTAATGTCGATCTATGTCGATATAAGATGCAAAAAGAGTACAATTGGCACACGACAGCAAAAGACTGCTTTTCAATTGCAATTGTAGAGACAAAAAGCTGGTTATGGAAACGCACTGTATTTATAAGATGGCACTAATTTAACCACAATGTTGGAACTTGCAAGCGCAAATAAAGTCAACGAAATGATGATGAAAATGGAATAGCAATGTCTATTGAAAAGAGCATGTCTGTTCACTATTTTACCCAGAATTTTACTTTATTTCTTCCATGTCTACTTGTTCTCCTTGATAACAACAACATACAGTAGTTGTAGTTGGTATGGAACTCAATTTTCAACATGATTCAGTCTTTTACCACTAACAATCCTAATTATTTGATGCTAATTTGATTCTCTCTTAATATCTTTTCCTTCGAAACCATGAAACAATAATCATGACAGCAAAAACTACCATCTCTATCAAATTAGTTTCACTGGTGTGATTGATAATAATTTAAACTTGCCTCAATAACGGGGTGATTCAATGGATAGGTAACAATTGGCACAAATTAAATAATCTAGGTTTAAACCGTCATAGCATTAATGGAAGACACATCATTGAAACAGAAATGAATCACTTGTAAGGCAATTTCATAAGCTATGAATAAAAATCCCAGCAAATGTTACATTCATTCATAGATACAATTAAGAATCATTCAAAAGCCTAGAATAAATTAACTTAAAACTACTGGTTCAAATTAAAATGGTTAATAACAAACCCAGCCAGTGGAAACGTCGAAGATGCCTGCTTAAGTTGTTATACAATTTAGTCTTTTCATCGTTTTGCTGACAGTTTGTCATTCAAGAAAAGTTAGTCGATTGCAGTTAAATTTAATTGTGAATTATTCATTCAATGCTATTTTAATTTAAATTTGACTAGCTGATTATCGATTAAAACAATATATTTAAACTGAATAATCAATAAGAATCAATAAGAATATTGAAAACCTTAGTTTCCCGGAAATGTTCTTTTTTATGAGCACAAATTCACCCAAAAATTGAATTCTTTTCACCAACAGAACAAATGAATTATTCATTTATTAATATTCAGATAACTATTATTGTAAATCAGTTACATCGGGATGAATAATTTTGAACAAGAATAAAAGAAATAAGATTCATCTGATTAAAATAATGTAAGCATTTAGTTTTCAAACTTCAAAATGATATAATAAAGATTCATGAAGTCACTCTTTCTCTGGTTCTCGAAAACATTTTAACAACAATTCAGTTTTGATCAGAATATTCAGTAAATTTATCTAATTAACCATCGAATGGTGAAAATAACCAGCAAAATAACAAGAAAATCTTAACGTGAACCAAGTTGCCAACTTTGGTTTGTTACTAAAAAGTCACAATCCTCACATTTATGCAAAAATTGAAACAAACGGTCAAAAATAATTTCTGTCAAATTAAGACTCTGTTGGTTTGTAGGGAAATCAAAACTGAATCCATTTTCACGATTTAAAATTTTCCCTGATCTATAGTTTTCGAGGAAATTGAGATCAAAGTTGAAACTTCGATCGCCTTTTGTACAACTATGAAGTTAGATTTTTTCATGAGACTCATTTTACTGATGCTAATTTTTATGATAAACCAGGAAATGCATTCATTTTGCGAAACAAAGTTTTCTGTTTCTGTAAAACAGATAAAGTTCGATTCTCCTTTAAACATTCCGCATTCTGTAGCCGCAAGAATTTGATTGCTTAAACTTAGTATTTGTCGACAAAAATTGTTGTTTCACATAATAAACGAATTACTTTTAACAATTTAACAACATTTCTCTCGATTTTTGCTATTGACTTAAAAACTTTGAGCCTAAATATTTCGAGAATGGCATCATCAATTTAATTCTTTATTAGATAATAATTCAATTCAATTTGATAAATTGCAATTAGCGCATTTGGGTCATAATAATTAGGTTTTAAATGCACAAGAAACAACTTATTCAACAAACAAAACTCATATTAACCCATTTCTTGGTTAATAAAGCAATTTTTCTGGTTTAACTTGCAAATGAAATGCAAAAAGTACTGCAAAAGGCTCGAACATTTACGTTAAGAGATGAGACTTGGTGGGTTTGTAGGGACATGGAAACTGAGTCCGTTGGTGCTGTTAAATAATTCGTCCGATGAACATTTTTCGAAGAAATCGAGTTCGAAAGTTGAAACTTCGATCATCTTTTGTCCAACTATGGAAGCAGATTTTTTCTCCAAACTCATTTCACTGAAGTAAATTTCGATGATGAATCAGATGATGCATTAATTTTGCAAAATAAATTTTTCTATTTCTGTACAACAGTTCAAGTTCGATTTTCAGCTTAATCGACAGTTTCTTGTGACCTTAAGAGTTAGAAAGTTGAAACTTACTAATTATGCATAAAAATTGTCGCCACACATCAACAATTCAACGATTTTCTCATTTTATTGATAGTTTGCATGATTTAAGCCATTTACCTAAAAACTTTGAACATCAATATTTCGAAATGGATAGCATCTGAAATCATCTTTTGTTGACCAATCAATAGATTTCATTATGGACTATCACATAATATGACTTAATATCGAAGAAATCTGAGCTAATCCATTTAATTAAGAATATTCATACGTAACCATTTACTTTTATCGATAAAGAATCAAATCTGACAGCATGAGTAACACAGTGCTCTAACTTTTTTTCTAGAATCTTGAATGATCTAAATTTCGATATTTTCAGAGCCCATAATAAAATCTAATGTTTGATTAAAGAATGATGATTGTGGGTACTATTATTCTCGAAATATTGATGCTCAAAGTTTTCAGGTCAATGGCCAAAATCAAGGAAACTGTTGTTAACTTGAAAAAAGTGACCACTCACCAACGTATACAGACAATTTTTGAGCATGAATAGTAAGTTTCAGCCTTCTAACTTTTACGACCACAAAAATCTGTCGATTTAACTGAAAATCGAACTTATCTATTTTTTCAGAAACAGGACATGTTATTGTTCAAAATAAGTTCATTTTCTAATTGCCTATCAAAAGTTACCTCACGAAAATAAGTTTCCTAACAAAATCTTGTTCCATAATTGAACAAAAACGAATCGAAGTTTCAGCTTTGACCTCTAATTGATCGAAAACTGTCTATCGGAGAATCATTTTAATAGCACTCATGGACTCAGTTTATGTACTTCTTTACATCTATAAACTATTAACTCTCAACTCAACGTGATTCTCAAACAGTACTAAAACTTGCATCGAATAAAAGTTTAAAGTTGATTATGCACAGTTAAAGAAAAGATGGTTTATTACACTTAAATTTGCTACAATTTAAGCATTTTCTTGGTGTAAACTCACAATAGCAGTCCGATTTTGGCTATTAATCATTTAGGAATCCATTTTAATACAACATTGATGTTGATTTCCCTCATTCTATCAAAAAACTAATAGGTTATTAAACTGAAACGCAATATTTCGAGAATGTAATTACCAATAATCATCATTCTTTATCCAAACATTATATTTCATTATGGGCTATAACACAATGAATATGAACAACTAATGCAAATTCAATACAGAGTCAAGAACATGGGAATCTTAACAGTCTACTCATTAATAAAGGTTCAGATTCGTTTTCTTGATTTGTGGCTTGTAACTAAAAAGACACAAAGACAACAAAATTGTCACATTCATGCACAAATTGACATAAATGGGCAAAAACCGGTGAAAATTACTTTCTTTCAAGTTAAGACTCTGTTGGTCTATAGAAACATAGAAACTATGTCCATTTATACGATTTAAAACTATCCCCGATCGACATTTTCTGAGGAAATCAAGGCCAAAGTTAAACTTCGATCGTCTACTGTGCAATTATGGAAGCAGATTTTTTCATGAGACTCATTTTAATGATCTAACTTTTGATTATCGTCAAGAAAATGCATTCATTTTAAGAAATAAAGTTTTCTGTTTCTGTAAAACACATCAAGTTCGATTCTCCGTTAAACATTCCGCATTCTGTGACCGTAAGAATTTGATTGCTGAAACTTAGTATTTGTGGATAAAAATTGTTGCTTCGCATCACGAACTAATTACTTTTCTCAATTTAACAACGGTTCTCTAATTTTGGCCATTAGTCTTAAAACTTTGAGCCTCATTAAACATTATATTTCATTGCGAGCTATAATATAATATGAGTGAATTACGAAAAAATGAGCTTATTCATTTAATAATGAATACCCTAAGACATCATAAGATTTGTGTTCGAGTAAATCAAGAACCAATTTTACAAAATAAGTAATTCAGTGCTATAGTTTTTTGGTATGATCTTGATGCATCTAGAATTTCAATGCATCATAGTCCATGATGAAATCCAATGATTAGCTAAAGAATGGTGATTGTAGGTGATGCCATTCTCGAAATATCGAGGCTCAAATTTTTACTAATAATGGCCAATATCAAGATAACTGTCAATAAATTGATAAAATTGTTCAATGGCTGATGTGTATCAACAATTGTTTTCGAGAAATACTAAGTTTCAGCAATCTAATTCTTACGGCTATAGAATGCGGCCGATTTAACTAAAAATCGAACTGATCCGTTTAACCGAAAAAGAAAGTTCTATTTCTCAAAACAATTGTATTTTTTGGTTTCCCATCAAAAGATACATCCGTCAAATGTGTTTCATGAAAAAAGCTGCTTTCATAGCTGAGTAAAAGGCGATCGAAGTTTTAACTTTCGACCTCGATTTCCTCGAAAACTGTAGGTCAGAGATACTTTTTAATAGCAGTAATCCATGCATTTTTCATGTCTCTATAATTCTAATCTATAATCCATGAGTCTAAATTCGAAGAAAACAAATTTAGACCCGTTTTTGCCCATTGTTGTCAATTTTTGCATAAATTTGACGATTGTGTCTTTTTAGTAACAATTAAAACTTTGAGTTTTGGGTAAGACTATCAGCTTTTCAATTTGTTATCAATTTCAACCGTTCAAACCGTTCAATTGAACAATTAAACCAACATTAGTTTTCCGGTTTTGAGTGGACATTAAAGGTGAATTAATATGAATTAACAATCAAAGATACTATCTGACTTGCTATTAAAAATTGATGAATCAGCCAAAGATTTAGCCTTTTTATATATTCTGATTCAGTATCCGGAATTAAGCCTGGCTTTTTGATTTAGCGTTTTTTGACAACGATGACAAGCAATTAACTATTAAAAGTGAGGATTCAAAGCTAACCAAATTGATCATTCACTGAAATGCAGTTGATCATGGTTAGTTGAACCAGAAAATGGAAAAGGTAGAGAACCATTGAAAGTGGTACCTTAAAAGGCTACTGTTATTTACGAAACAAGTAAAGTGTTGATCAACTAATATCGATTATATAAACTGTTCAATGGATGTTAATTTGATTTATTTTGTTTTTATCCTCATTTTTAGCCAAAGTAAGTTTACGTTAATAAAGATGTTTACAGCCCAATGTTAGGCTTGTTTGGAGTTTATGTTTTGCTCTGTTGTTTTCATCTTGACCAGGTTTTTGATGCTTAACAATTGACTGATTACTGTAATTATATTGTTGTTTTCATTAAGATATTGCTGTGTCAACCGGTCAATCATTTACTGGCGACTGTCAAATACTTTATCAATGTCAGTCCGAGGCAATCAAGTTAACTACATCGAAGCAAAATACTGGTTACCATGGATTAGGTTTAGCCTGGTCATCGACAACTTGTGGGTAAGTTCAACTATTATTTTTAATCGAGTCATTTGTTAGTAAACCATTTACAATTAAACTTGCATTTTTTAACCAAACTTAACCATATTTTAATGAAAAACAATTGTTGACTGTAATAATTGACTAGTAAAACTGTAGTTATTACGTTTGTAAAGCTTGTAAATATGAGAATCAAACCAGATTTTTATCCCTGTTTTTATACCAGACCCAGAAATCAACCTTGAGACCAGAAAATAATAGTCAATGGTTTGCCTACTATTTTTGCTTGCAATATAATCACAATTTATTGCTTACTTTTATAAATTCAACATTAAAATGTCATAACATTTAGCGTGGTCATTGAAATAATCAACTCAAGCCTCTTTATTTTGCTCACGTTTATGCCATTTAATTTGTTAGCATCGAATCTTTGATTGTGACTGAGATCATTTAAGGTTGTAATTATTGCCGTGAAGGCTATAAGATTGCATTGGTTTGTAAATTGACTTTGCTAGTTGGAAATGAGGAAGAAACCAGATCAATTGTTTACCGTTTTTCACTTTTTGCTTACTTTTTAGAGTGATACGGCAAAAATTGGCTTGCGTTGTTAATTTAGCTCAGACCTGTTCACTGAGAGATGATTTAACAACAAAATCAACTTCTTCCATAGTTGACTCAACCAAAAATTACTTAATCGAAAAGTGCAGCAAAAATCGAGGTAAGTGCACAGTTCTTTCTTAATCTTCTGTGATCTTTATTAATGCATATGTTTGAACGCTGAAGTGATGATTATCTTCTGTTTTGCATTTCAGTTTCATTGTTTTGAGTTTGTTTTAATTTTATTCCTAATTTCATCAATTGTCTCTTTCTATCTATTAATTAGATTGGAGTGATTCAAGTTGTTTCCAAAGTCCTGAAGTAACCAACTGTTTAACCTCACACCAGTTGCAGTCAGACGAAATAACCTTAAAGTCTTGCAGGTTCGTCAAAGTTTGCAAAAGTTAACTAGTGATTATTGAGAGTGTTTAAGTACTATTTAACTGAGTATTCAAAGTTTAATTGTCATTGTGGTTTGTTTTCTTACAGTAAATATAACAGTTATAAAAAATGTATTTTGAATCATGTCAACTCGAAATGCTCATACCAGGAAAGAGAATATGTTTTGATATATTTGATTGAAAAGGCTTCCAACTTGACCTGGCTGTGTACCAATGAGAGTGCTGTTCAACCACATGATCGAGCAGAAGGTAGGAGTTAATGATTATAATTGCATTTTAATTGCTAAAATATTTTCTCTCCGAATCCAAGGCTTCCCAAATCCTTTCGGCAATCACATTGGAAAACGAGGAAGTCCAAATTATGATCAAAATGATGACCATTTCCACCCAGCTGACAATGAATTCAACAACAGAGCCAATGGCCTTTGGTTACCAGCTAATAGATTTCCAGTAGATTTTAATAATCTTAACACTGGTGCATCTCAGTCAACCCAAAATAACCCATTCAATTCTGGTCCAAAAGATGTCAACAATCAAATGAATGGAGATGCTTATTATCAACCAATCAATTCATATCAACCACCCAGTCCAAACCAAAGGCCTATGTCTGATCGCTTCTTCGGTAGACCACCATTACATCAATTGCCAAATGAGATGTATTTCAATAGCATGAGTTCATCAAGTCCACTATTGAATCCTGACCAACCATTTCCACCAGTCAACTTGAACAAGCAGCAATTAAGTATGAATGAATAATAAGTTAATCCAACTATTATATTATACATTTAATAACCTTCATTTTACAGATAACCAGCAACCAGGATTGCCACTCAACAATAATATAGACAGAATTGATTCGTGTCTTCAACGAGCCAACATGATCGGCCGTCACTGTGAAGAAGCTCTCAATGAACGAAGAGATTCGGCAAGAGAATCAAGGAATCCACGAGATCTAAAGTCAGGCCTTTGTTGGTAAATAAATTTGTTTGTGAATGTAAACAGTTTCAAGAGATTAATATATTTTCTCATTTCAGCGGTTTACTCAGATACAGTGATTGTTTTGGTAAAATAGTGAACCAAGTTTGTCCGAATATTGATGCAACCTCAGTTTATCGATCAATTCCTGAGAATCGAAGACAAGAGATGAACTCTTGTCAATCTTATGGCCCATTCAACTGTAATTATATGAGTAATGGAGATTCGATGAAACTTCCCAGATTGCTATCAAATCTTTTCATACTTTTTTCATTCCTTTTTATTATTTATTAAATCTTAACAATTTTGTACTCGTTTTAAATCCCAACTTTAATTATTCATCTTTCATTTTATCCATTCAATCGGACTCAGTCAACCATTACACATACCAACGTATGTTAAATAAAACCGTCAAATAAGAGAAAACTTCGGGAATTTCGAAAGTGAACAAAAAACGTGGATTTGGACAAGAAATGGGACAATGTATGCACATTAATGAGCCGTGAAGAAACCCCTACCAAAACGTGTCTCTCTATTTCGGTCAAAAAGATGTGAAGGTTCGGTGTTCATAGAATGTCCAAATATCATTTTTGGTTGAATTTAAGATAATTTAAGATAATTTATTGATTAATCAACTTTAATGTGGTTAAACATGTTGTGAGTTTCTCTTATTCTCATCTTCATCATTCTTATTATGTCTTATAATATACAATTGATAACGGTGCTTACAAAAACGTTTGACTAGGGATTTGTTTATAATCATGGTAAAAATCAACGAACTGAACTTTCGAAGTTCAACTGCTGCCCTCTTTTGGTGGAATTAAAAAACAGATTAGTATTAAATTTCATCGGATTATTGATTCTCTTTCAATTTCAGTTCATTTTATAAATGCGATTACTTGTGTGGACGAAGATTGTGAGACAAGATTCAGAATTAAATTAGAAACTCTTTTAATTGAGTCTTTGAAAAGATTGAGATTCAATGAAGGTAAATTATTACAAGTGTAAATTATGTCATTTAGATCAGACAAGGCTGCTAAAGTCCAAGGTTTTGGGTCCCCAAATTTTTGCCTTTAAATTCAATTATTTACATCTAGCTAATTCTTATGAAATTTTAAGATTCGCAGTATTCAGTTCAATCACGAGAATTCGAAAAAAATAAACACAAATTTTTAAAGCTTCAAGAAATGGCAAAAAGGTAATTGAAAAAGGCAAGTAATTTTTTGGTTCAACAAATGTTCACCTGAACTTCAACAGCCCTGTAATTTTGATTTGATTTCTTATTTCAAGTGTAAATAGCAAACACAAGATCGAATGTGAAGAATGAGAAAACATTGAAAAAGCTTAGTACAAATAATGTAAGAATAATAAATAATAATGAATAGTTATCAACATAAAAACAATTGCAAGACAAAGTAAAGTTTCAATTTTCAACACATTGCCCGCTATTTACAACAATTAAGGCTACTAAGTTTAGTTGATTATTGGAATCAACGGTAATTGTGTACACATCAGTAAGTAAACCTTTCCATTTCAAATGAAAATTGACCAAGAATTAAATATGGGCAAAACTGAACTGAATCAGGCTTGAGCATTTAGTTGTCTACCATTTTCACGTCACTTGAACCAACTTCCTGATCGTTGATCCAATCGGAATTATATTCAAAAATCGATCGGCGCTACAACGGGTCGGATTTATAAAGAGGATTAATATATACATTTTGAGCAAGTAAAGGAGCCTGATCATCTGTTGTCAAAATGGCATTGGATTGACTACCATCGCCATTGGTATCACTTTCATGATTGGTCTCAATTTCATTTGATCTTGTTAATTCTGCTTGAATTGAAGTTGATGGACTTGAAATTGATTCGATTGCGGGAGGCACTGGTGATGTTACAGGTGTCACTGGTAATGAAGCAAGGTGTAAAGTAAGAGGATGTGGCGGTGGAGTGGACGTTGGTGGCGGTGTTGGTGCTAGTGCTGGTGATGAATGTGATGTTAATGATGTTTGTTGAGGTGTTAATTCAGCAATGATTTTGGTAGTTAATGCTGAATCAGTTTTATTTGTCGGTTGATTTTGAAGCTGAAGATTTGATTGTGAGGTAATATTAGTTGACGATGATGATGGTAGAGGTGAGATAGGCTGTTGATTAATCATCTTATTTGTAAAACAGTCTTTTAAATTAACAATATCGGATGGAATGTCCAATAAGGAAGAATGAAAAGTTGAGAAGCAACTGGAATATGTATTGCAGGATTCCATTGAGCCAACTTCAGAAGAATCTGAATCTTTTTTCATCCCATTCTCTTGAATCGCTGTCTGTCCAATTGAACGGTTTACTCTGCTCATCAATACGGACCGACTATTGGAAGATATTAATTCTTCATTCAATCCCTCTGAATTAAAGTCATGCTTATTTCCAGCACTAACTAAAGATTGCTCAATCTCTTCAAGAAAATCCTTTATCCGCTCCTGAAATAGACAGAAGAGAGAGAATGAATATAATTTATGAACAATAATTTTCAAGTTAGTAGTGTTAGTAAATTAATGTAAGACAAACAAATATTAGAGCAATAAAGAATCTTCCAAGAGTTAGTGATTAGTTGAGTTTAATAAGAGAGTTTGATGAGTAATTCTGGTCTGAAATGCTCCAAATGTATCATACTGTTACAAACCTGATTAAACTGATCCAACGATATTACATGACTTTCTAGAATCAATAGATTTTAATGGAAACACGTTGATTTAAAATAAAATTAACAAATGGCTTTCAATTTTCGCTATGAAACAATATGGATTATAAAAAATTGATATTTATTTAAAACAAAGAGTTAAACTCTTGATGTTTGCTAAGAAAGAAATGCAAACAATTGGAAATAAATATTAATAAAAATAAAGGGAAAACAAAACAAAAAGTGAAATAAAAAACAAATGAGTCAACTTAAAATACCTTTCATAAATTATTTGATAGCTAATTACAATATATTAACATTTCAGGATATTTTAACGTGAAAAATTAACAATAATGAGCGTCGGTAAAACGTGATGGGAAGGGTTTGAAAAGCATTGAGTTTGAGTTTGTTTTTCATCAAGTTGAATGTTGACGACATTATAATAAATATTACCATTTCCATCTAATAAATTTTGATACATTGTAATTTACATTAGAAAAATGGTGACAACAAAAAATCTTGACTTGTGCAGCAATCAATGGTAATCTCATGAATTACAATTGATTACTGTGATCAAGAGGGTGATTTATTGTTTTCAATATTATCATTAGGACTGTTTTGATCACAATTATTACTTACAGCAGATGATGATTGAGCACCAGAATTTGAACTAGTTTCCTGTTGCATGATTGATAAGGCTTTTGGTGCACATGAAGATGATAATGTAGATGAGGTTCCAATCAACCCAATAACACCATTCATTGAATCGTTGGTTAAAAATTTGTCACTAGTTGTATTTATATTAACATTAGTTCCATTGGTAATTCCATTATTTGCAGTATTGATATTTTCATTGTCGCTGGTAATGACATCCATTCGTGGATTCAATTCAAGATCCATCAAATTGGTACCATTAGAACGATCACCTTGATGATAATGAGCAAGACGTAATTTTTCACGGGTTAATTGAGCTGAGTGGCCAGTTGACATAGTATGGTCATAACTGCGAAAACAGCCAACTCCAGTACTTGTGAACCGTATCGAATCCCCACCGACACTTCCAGTATCCTAAATTAAATAACAAAGAGATGAGTAAAAAATGAAAACAAATTGATCAACCATTTTCAATACAAAAATGGCTCCACCGTAATGGCAGTTAAAAAAGGAGGCAAATCTGAGTGAGCGCTTTTTTCAAATGTTCATTGAAATTTTAATCAAGCAATTGTTAATGGATTACATTTATAATATTTAATGGCTTAATGTTGCAGAATTAATGAGATTATCCATCAAAATATCAATATTGCTTGGTTAACAATCTATAAGAGTATCTATATTTAGCCTGGTTAAATCTTTTTTTGAACAAAGGATAAAATGGAGTAAAAAATATTGACAAGATCTATCGTTTTTGGTTCAAGTTCAATTAAAAACATTTTGACGATTTACTGTTCTTTTTTGTTCCTTTAAATTAACAATTTATGGTTCCTTTTTGCCTCAAACAAAATAGTTGAACCAGCAATTCAATTGTTGGAATTCACACTATATTCACTGGATCGATGTTAATCTTCATCTTCATCCTATTTTCCTCTTCCTCTTTATCATTCATGGTAGCCTTCATTTTTCGGAATAACTCACAATCAATCAATTAAGTCTCTATTAATCATTATTATCATCGAAACCGATTTATCCTGAGTCAACATTTTTTTATCCTCAGTTCACAAAAAGGAAATTGGCGTTCTAACAGTTTAATAGTCTTTTTACCAGAAACTCTTTGAGTTTACTCAACTAAATACTCGATGATCAAACTGTTAAATTAATAGAAAAGAGAAGAATCGAGATTTTGAACATAACGATAAAAGATGGACCAAAATAAAGCCGCATCTGTGATGAGTAACCGTTTGGGAGAGCGGTTTCCCTTATTCCCGTAATTGGGTGAAGACATAAAATTATAATCAAAGACTAACAATCAACCCAAAATCAAACTTATTAGAGCTGTCAAGGAACGAGGAATATGTTAATCCAAATAGCACTCCGTTAGATCATAAAGTCGCTTTTCTCTTATACTTTCAAAACATTTGTTATTTCATTTTTGCTTTTGTTTGTTTTTTCAATTTTTGGGTAAAGGCCGAAGGTTATGTATTGCAACGAGGTAAGGAGGTTAGATAATTGTCAAAATTAATTGCAATGTTATCAATGATTATTTAAAAATGGAAGCAATGGTTTACAGTTATATGACATAAAATGAGATTCATAAGAGGCGAATGACTAAATTTTGATTACAGGGAAACTGTTGGTGAATGTTGACTCAACCAAAGTGCACAAATGGGAAACAGGTTCGTTAATGTATTTAAGTTGATGACAAAGAAATCGATAAATTAAATGAAAAGCTAATGAATTGGCGTTAAAGTGTTTAGTGAACAGGAAAAACATTTAATAGTCAACTATTTTACCCTTTTGCTGTGACCAGAACTTAACAACTCACAATGATTACAGTCGGTAGATGATTGTCAATCTTGATATTCTGGGTAAGAGAGACAATTTTCATTGGAATTATTGTGGAAAAATCACTGACTTTAGTGTTTCTTGTTCCTTGTTGTCCCTGTGAGAGCAATCAACTAAATTAGTGTACATTTCTTGGGTCACAATGGCCTTTATTATCAGATCAATTGTTAAAACTAAAAGTCGCATTTGCATTGGGATTGTTTAAAAACATAATGTTTAGTATTGTATAAAAAATAGTTTAGTGAATGTCTGAAATTAAAAAAAATAATCAATAATCTCCAACTGGTTAAACAGTTTTCACTGGTCAACAGATTTGTTAGGCCTCACTAACCCAACTCATTTTGCAATGAATTACATTGTCTAATTCAATTTAATGGCTAACTATGTGTTGATGTTATATGAGATGTAGGGACAAGTTTATCCAACTGTTAAATGTAATTAACAATGTCCAAAAGATGTGCGCTCAATTGTAAGTGAACCTTTCAACTTTAACTTGTTGATATTCTGATTAATCATTAGAAACAAAAAAGTAACCGAAGAAGCTCATCTAACATAAAAATATCTAAATAATTTTGTGTCTACCGGGTTAAATTGATATAATTAATAGCTGGTGCAAAGAGTAAAGAGCTTCTTTACTCTTTGGCTGGTGTAGTTATCAAAGAAAATTGAGATTATTTGTCTTACCTTGCAAAAAGTTACACAAGAAATGTTGCCAAGAACAACTGAAAATGTGAGTCACAAGTTTAACTTTTATTTTCCTAACCGTTTTTTCAACATGTGTAGCTGAACTACTCTTAGGAGCAACCGTTTAATATTACAATAATACAATTGTGGTCTTGTTTCTGGACTAATCTGGATATTAAAACAATTTATAAGGTAAAGTATTTTATCAAATTCCCATTATTGGATTATTTTTACAATATCTAATGTATCTAGCTAAATTTCATTGTAGATACATTGGACTCTAAAAATGTCTTTCAGCCAGTTTCCATTATTTCCAGTGTTTCCAGTTAAATAATCCAAATTTCTTTCTTTTTCAGATAATCATTATGGAGATGACTAATATTATCATCTAGAACATCATTATCATTATCTCTTTCCTTCCTGACTGTGCGAGGTTTGGAATCACCTTTTTTTGATGGGTTTAGTGATTGTTTTAACCATTGTTTAAACGAGAAGCTTCACAGCTGATTTAGAAATACATTCTCTATTCATTTTCATTTTTATTGAGTTTTTTCATTATAGCTTGTGAATTGATCTTACCTAAAATGATTCAATAATGAAGATAATTATAATAACGATGACATTGATGTAACTAATGGTAAGTTTAATCATTTACAGCTTGCTTTGCTTCTTTATATTTACATCTACTTTTCTTTCTATTACAGATTTTGCTTGTTTTAGTGGAGTTAAAGTGTTGAATAATGAGGGAATCCATTAATTTGTTTGCAAAGATGTTCGTTTGCCAACTATTGGATCTTAAATTGTTCAAGAAACCACGAATCCTAAAGAAATTACGTTTGAAAATTATGCTAAAGGACAATTTATGTTTTTGCATTGCGATACTGGAGATCCTCCGAAAAATTACAAATTTTACCGACTTGGCTTCGATATCTTCTTGATAATCAAAAACTTCAAGCTTTCGAGCTATTTACATATTGTTCAACCACCATTGTCTTTCCTTACTCTCTGACAGGATCCACTCTTGTTAACAATATGTTTTCTCATTTTTCATCACAGAGCATCTTGAGTTTACTATTATAGTCTTCAAGCTGTTGAAGGAGATATTAAAATGATATTCAAAATAAAGAAGGACTTCCTCAGAGCCTGGTGAATATGAAAATTCAATTTTTATGAGATATTTTCACGTCAAAGCAAAACTTGGTGCATCATGCTAAGTTGGTTGTAAAAAATGAATGAAAGAGGATGCTACGCTAATTTTTTTCTAGATTATATCATCCATAATCATGTCAACTATTCATTGAAAGCTATTTAATCCTCTAAATGTCGTTATTCATTTATAGTATCATCCACCTACCTCCTTACGAGTAAGGTAAATTATTAATATTACGATTGATCAAAAGCTGACAAGAAATGCATGTCAGAAAATCTATTTTTTGTGTTTTCCCATTTTCTATTGCAAAATCAACCATTCGGAAAATCAATATTTTCCTCCAAAAGACGGACATTTCAGTAGGCAAACCCTTCTTTTTAAGGATCAATGGACTCATATTATCCTAATGGAAAGCAATCAAATTGACTGAAGCCATCCTGATGCTGATGTTTGTATCATGATTGGAAATCATCAACACTCTATAAGGAATCATTTCTCGTTGAATAACATCATTTGGCCTCTGTTCCTCAGCCTTATTAAGTTATATTCAATTACACTGCTGTTATAAATGTATTTCATTCCAGTTGTCCTGCTGCCATCAATACTTACGAAAACAATAATTAATTCTCCCTGTTCTTTCTCAAGATACTTTAAGGTATGGTTCCTGTTTTTGTCATATTGGCAATCAATTGAGTAAATTAATACAATCCCAATGGCTGGTGAAAAGTGTGTCAAACTTGTATCATTTTATCTGAACTCATTTTTTACATTTTTAAATATTTATAATATTTTTAAATATGTAAGGTTCATTGCGGATAGGGAACTAGAAACTAAGGATTACTTGCTATTATTTCATACAAGTTGATCAAAATGCTCGGATGCAAGGCTCGAATCATTTATATCAATTAATAGCATCAAATTATAAACGTAAATAGTTTTGAGTGTCAGCTTCTCTCTATGATTGATACGCATCTACATTGAATATAATCAAAAACTAATCAATATCATGAAATGAGCTTTATTTACTGCTAATACTTAATATCCAAATTTTGTGACTAAGTGTAGATCAATCACCAACTTGAACCAAGACACCATATCAATCATTAGAAATGGACAACACTTGAAATAGTTTATAATTGACTATGTGATTGGATGCAATATCAATGATAAGCTGACCAATTATTCATTGTATTCATGAATTGTATGAATTTTCATCAACTAATTGTTGAGAATAACATGAAAGATTGTCTTTTGAATTTGATGAAATCAGTTATAAATCCAGCCTTATAATACCATCAACCTCACATGATGACCTTAAGTAACATATTGATTTTATGTCCTGTTGTGACCTGGAATTTGTCATTATTATTTTCTCTCATGATAATGGATTATAATTCAGCAACAACTTTTATTCATCCACCAACTTTCAACACCATTCACTAAATCGATTCTTTATTGATTTAATAATACTCATGAGCATGTCTCATAATTTCACTTAAACCCTTATCATTTACAACTCAATATAACTCGCCTGTTGATCTTTACTTTCATCAGTTTCCTTTACTCTTTCATCATATCAAATCGTGATTGTCCCCTTCCTCTGTTCCTCCCAAATCACACAAATAATGGACACAGAGATAAAAGCTCAGTGCAGAACCAGGATAATTCAACCATTCTTAACCTTACAATCAAATGATTTGCCTAACAATATACACCTCAGTGTTGACCTATGGCTTTAAATGAAAAGAATCTCAAAAAGCTATTTTCATGATAACAATGAAACAATATCCAAGAAGATTTATCACTTTTTTATGAATATTTAGCAAGATCATTACTGGTCAGCCAGACAGTTTCAATTATTTATTTTACTTCTTCCCCTTAATGCTAATTTTACTGTACATTTAACCAGTTAAACGAACTCATTTGTTGCAGCTATTAGGTTATATTATTCACTAGACAATCTATCGATCTAACAATTCAATGAGTAACATTATTTCACCTTAACAAACACATGACACTTTAATTGTTCTCGTCGTTCAACTCATTTAGTCAAAAAATAACGAGTCTAACAAGCAAAATTCAATAAAACATGAAACAATCATTATTAAGGAAAGGGATAATCGATTAAAAATTAAGAGAAATCGTTTATTGTCTGAATACAAGAAGATCATCTTATCAAATAATTATCAACTTAAATAAAAAGATTTAATTTAATTCTTCTAATGCTAACTCTTAACCATAACCTGGTGAAAACCAAAAGCATTTTGATTTTCACCCGAATGATCCACTTCCAAAGATTTGGGTTAAAAAAGGCAACAATAAAAGAATGAAATGTAAAACCAGAAAAATGAATTTGCCAGTAAACTCATGAAATTATGATTAGATTAGCTAACCAGATTCATCATAATTCACTTTACTTCTTTAATGATAATAATCTGTTGTTTTATTAATATTTGCATTAAAACAACACTTTACTTATCTTTTTCATTCAACTATCAAAAAGCTCACAAACCTTTCTTCACTATCACCATCATCTGAAGTAAACACATCAATTATCATGCTCATCACCATTATCCTCACATTGAAACCTGAAAATATTACTCTCAAAGATTCTTAGTTAAACAAATTCAGATTCGTCAAATGTAAATCAAGTTTAACACCAACTTCAAGTATTGATTATGTAAATTTTTTGCTGTTAATTGTGTGAATCATTCCATAATAATGTGATACTGACTATCCAAAATTAACCATAAATCATAGTCCAGTGAATGTTATAAATTGTATCGAGTTCACTGAAGGCAAAAAAAGCAAAAATAAATGAATTCTGTGCAATAACAGTTCGTGTGATAATTTATTTTGTTTATTGAATTTCAACTGATCAAATTGAACCCATTCTAGATTTATATGGTAATAGCAAAGTGATATTTCAATGGATTGAATGAAATGTTTGAAGGAATTATCTGAACCAGTCTGAACTCACAAGTTTTCACACTCACAGTTTTGCAATTTAAATTACTTGTTCTGCAATTTAATCTTTTTGCTGACAAATTTCATTGAAATGTCAACACCAATTGATGTATTTCATTGAATTATTGGAATAATTTCAAATGTTTATCACTTTGAATCGCTATCAATTGGAAGGTGAAAATTAACTCAAATATTCATGTTCAGTGTTTCATGTGTTCCACTAATGATACAACAATAATGATGATTCAAGATCTTCTCGAAGCTAAACTGTTATGAAATGTTAAAGGTTGTTGCAGAATGTGCAAGGTAAATCAAGGCATTTCCAATTTAATGGTTTATTTGCTGATTGAGAATGTACAATGTTCATGAAAATTACAAAAAGCAATTTTCATGATTATCTGTCAACAAACATTCAACTATATTCAACCATGTTGAGATAAAAATATCAATTCCTTACAGTTTATGCAAAGTAATACTCAAGTTGAGGTGGAACATGAATCATGATTTTTTTGGTGATTACATTGCGATTAGATGTTTACAATTTGATATTGATCAGTAATCACTCTTGATTGTCTTTTGTTATTAACATATTTGTAAGAATATTGAGTCACTTGATAATAGATTAACATTGAAATACAGAGTAACCGAAATTGATTGTGCTCCAAGTTAATCGATCATTGTTAATTGTATATCTTAGCATATCAAATGACTTGGTTCATGCCAAATCAATCAATATAAACTGATCGAGATTTTAACATTAAATCATTGATTTTGTTATTCAAGAATTGAGTTGTAAAATAAGGTTAAATAATATGAAACTCGAAAATTAAAAAGCAGCAAGTTTACTCATGATTATGTTCACTAATTGTGATTAAAATAAAAGAGCTAATACAACATGCAATGTGTTTCTATAGACCCTTACCTGTTGGGTTTGCGTTTGACCAGATTCAACGAGAACGTCAATAATGTCCATTGACTTTGCAAAGGCATCACGTAGATTAACATGAGGAAAGGCGACTATTGAACCTTCACGTTTGGCTCGTTCGAGGGCTTCTTTTCGTTTCAAGGCCTTTTCTCTCCTCATTTGGTTCTTATAAAATTCAGCGAAATTGTTGACTATAATGGGAATGGGCAGAGCAACAACAAGTACACCACAAACACAACAAACACCTCCAACAATCTTACCAGCTGTGGTAACTGGATAAATATCACCATAACCGACTGTAGTCATCGTAATACTGGCCCACCAAAAGGCTTCAGGGATCGAAGTGAATGCTTTGTTGGTGTCTTTTTCAGCGAAATAGACCAATGAAGAGAAGATCATTATTCCAATGGCGAGGAAAAGCATTAAAAGTCCCAGTTCTTTGTATGAGTTGCGGAGTGTGAAACCTAAGGATTGAAGGCCAGTGGAGTGACGAGCAAGCTTGAGAATACGCAAGATTCTCATGATTCTGAATATTTGGACCAATCGACGAACATCAGCAAAATCCTCTGAATGGTTATTGCGTTCAATTACAAGGCTAACATAGAAAGGTAATATGGCAAGAAGATCAATTATATTTAAATAAGATTTGAAAAATTTCCATTTATTGGGTGAACAGATGAATCTTAAGGCATATTCAAGGGTAAACCAGGCAATGCAAATGGCTTCAATAACAGCTAGACGACTGTTTTCACCACTTGGTTCATTACTTGAATCACGTTCTTGTAAGGAAGGAATTGTGTTCAGTGTTAATGCGATTGTTGATAATACAATAAATAAGATGGAAACGATAGCGACAACCTGATATCATCCAACAATCAATAATAGTTTCCGATTGCCATCAAATGCGATTTCATGAAAAGAAGAAAAGAAAATCGAATTAGTCAATTTAAATAAAAGTATTCGAGAGCATTTAATTAGTCCATTTTCAGCCTTTTTTACTTCACATGAATATAATTGGATTTCATGGGTTCTGAATGTATAAATTACTTGCATAAAATCATCGAAAATTTCTTTGCACTTTCGCTGAATATGTTTATTACTGTTAAGACGATATTGTTTTTTATCTGAAAAAAGCTTTTGAACATTATTGCAAACAAAATTGATAGCTTATTTGTTCGAGGCTAGACAATTTGTTAGTCTAATGTTATCATCAATCAACAAGCTTAATCAGAATAACAGAGAATGCGGAGAGAAAATTTATTCATCAAATCAACATTCTCTATTACTCGATAGTTTTATCTGGTTTCATGTTCAAGTTAATGAAGAAAAGCAGAATGCAAGAAATACAGTCAAGTCAATTCCCTATCCATGAAACAAGACAATTATTTTCATTTACAAACAGTAAATGCCATGATAATCATTAAACATTATCGATGATAAACAAAAAATGACTTTTAATACAAGTTTTGTCTTTAATGTCCACTAACCATACTCTTCTTGTTATGGTGAAAAGACATTAAACATGTGAAAACAATAATTGAGCTCAATGCGCTTTCGTTCATGAAATTTGAAGACAAATTCTTGTTTTTTAAATGCTATCCTCTGAGATTTTCAGGTCTTTTCTTGGTTTAGTAAATCTATTGATAATAATATTTAATTTGAGATTTTGCAAGTTTAATTGAATTTAGTCTAAACATTTTTAACACGCAAACACTTTTCGAGTGGATGAATAGACCATTGCTATCGATCTATACTAAGCGTTTCCTCAGTAAAGTCGGAATTTAAGGATGACTCTGAATTGCATGCCTAAGCCTGTTGAGTCAAAATGAAGAAACTTCGTAAATTCGTGGCTCAAACGAACCGTTAAGCTCTATTCTGGTGTCCTTTGCTTTCTTACTGGTTTTATTGATTAATTTCTGTTTTTGCATAAGATTAAGCGTTAAGTAACAATTGCTTTCATCACAGCCAACCACGACATTAATAATGATAAATGAAACATTATTCATATTTCATACTAAGAGTCAAACAGGTACTAAAGGCCAAAGTTTGTCATTAAGTCAGATTGTTGAGTAAAGATGAAGTCGATGATGGTGAAGACAAGGAAAGTTATGATGGAAGAAGAAATGTTGATGTAAGGTAATAAAGTGACATCTTGAAAGAACCAAAAATGTTTCCTGGTGAAGTGAACAAGTGATTTTTGCTGATAAAAATGAGTAAAAAGACCGTAAAGGAAAAGATTGAACCATGAAATGAAATGACCAAGAAGAGGATGAAAAGAGTAATCGAGTCACTATACCGGGCGTTTTTTTTTCATTTTACGCCTTCATGCAGGCATAACTCACGAACTGTTAGTGCTACAGACTTCAGACTTGAACCATAAGCTTATCTAGATTGCACAACGATAAGATCAAGTGCTCAAGGTTATTCAAGGTCAATTCTTTATTTGACCTCTAATTGACATTGAAAGATCATTTTCTGAAATCGCAAAATTTTTCGGACCCGATAGTGTTAGTTCCATATCCATAACTCATACCATTGGA